CCATATCTCGGCCTTGGGCCGCGGCGTCACCACGAGTCTTTACTGCTCGCGAGCACGCGAGGAAAGTGCTGTGGTGCATGGGTCGGGGGGGTGGGAGCATGAAGCCATTGGTTGAAAGAGATGGGCGTGGAATTGCAAGTGGTGGTGGAAGTGGAAGTGGGTTGCGAACTGGAGCCTGACGTCGCGCACGTGCATGCGCGCGAGCGGCTGCAGTAGCGTGGCGGGCGTTGCGCGGCGTGGCATGGTGCGTGTGTGCGTGGATGTGTGTGAGTGCGCGTGTGCGTGTGTGTGTGTGTGTGTGTGCGCGCGCGTGTGTGTGTGTGTGTGTGTGTGCGCGCGCGCGCGCGCGTTGTGCGTGGTAGTGTCGGTGGTGGGCGCGGTAGTCGCGACGCTAACGGTAGGTGCGGCGTGCATGGTGGGCGCGCGCGCGTGCGCGTGGCGCTGCGCGCGCGGAAAGGGTGGGAATGAGGAGATTAAGGAGGCGGTGGAGGATCGGTGCAATTTGTCTGTGTTTCTGTCTGCGCGCGTGCGCGGGTATGCGAAGGGGGGGGGGGGGGGGGGGGGGGGGGGGCGGTGGGGGGGGGCGCGGCGGCATTGCGCGCGCGGGGCGCGCACGCGCGGTCTGCAAGGGGCGAGTGGCGCAGCGCAGGGTCATGCGGACAAAGGGGTGGCAAGGGCGAGAGGAATTGTTGAGAGACGAAGGGGGTGGAACGCGCGGTTGGCGGCAATGGCGCGGTCGCGCCAATCTAGCGGCGCGCTTGAGGGCGCTGTTGGGGGTGCTGTTGGGGGTGGCGGCGCGCGGTTGCGGTGGCGATCATGGCGATGATGCCAACGGTGCAGCGGCGACGTGGCTCGCCCACCCACTCCGCCCCGCCGCGACCGCCACCACCACCACCTCTGCGCCACTCCGCGCCCCTTGCTCCGCATGTAACTGGTCGGCTCGCGGCTGCCAGGCAAGTCTGAGGCCCGCGCTGCGCGCGGCATGTGCCGCGCACCGCGCTTGCGCGACGGCGATGACGCTCATTCTCTGGATCGCACTCGCCGACGCGCGGCGCGCTTCGCACGCGAGGGGCGGTCGCCAGCCATGCGATTTTGCGCGACGCTCGCTCGACGCTCGCGCCGAGCGCAGCCCTGCCTTGCACTCCACTTCGGCCATGGCCATCCGCCCTCGCCACCAACGTGCGCCCGCGCGCCTCCCTCTTCCCGCTCGTATCCCCATCTCTCCTTCTTAACGCCCGCCCACCCCCCGCCCGCCGCCGCCGCCGCCTACCACCGTCACCACCGCCACCACAACCCACCCTGCCCAACACTGCCCCACGCGCGCACACATGCGCACGCACGCGCACATGCACCGTGCACCACCACCACTACCACCACCACCACCACCACCACCACCACCACCACCACCACCACCACCACCACCACCACCACCACCACCACCACGCACGTACACACGCACACCCCAACACAAACACGCCTCCCCTCCCTCCACCCACCCCCACCCACCTTTCACCACCACCACCACCACCACCACCACCACCACCACCACCACCACCACCACCACCACCACCAACAGCAACGCCATCACTGCCACCACTACTGCCACCACCACCACCACAACCACCACCACCCCATGCCGTCTGCAGTTCCCCCCTCCCCCTGCCGAGGATTGCCGCGGTCATGCGCGAAGGCGCGAAGTTAACGATGCGACGACGTTGCGAAGCGAAGTTCGTAGCCCTGGGGGCGTTGAGGCGCGAAGGTAGATCGAATGGGGATTCGCTCGGCAGGGGGGGTGCGATGAGGGCTCGGTCAGGGGCAATGGGGAACACCGATCGGTCGGAGTAGGATGAGAAGTCGAAATGAGGAGGGGCCACTGGAGAGAGGGAGCAGGCGGGGAAACGACGGAGACAACTGAAGAGGATCAGTGTTCAGGAGGAGAACGACGGATCGCGAGTGAGACAGTGAAGGGCGCGTGCTCAGGGTGGAAGAGGTGTAGTGGAGGTGGATAGGGATACCATTTTTTGATAGCAGTATCGTGATCATTGTTTTTTTACTGGGGGTTCGATTTCATCAACACTGCCGATCGTTATGGTCCTGACGAACATAGCGTTCGGCAGTTTTGTCTTGACGGACAGGGGCGCGTACACCCCTTGACGCCCCCTCGTGTCTTGACGTGCAGAGGTGCTTGCACCCCTTGACGCCCCCCCTTGCTGCTCTCTGGGGGGCCCCTATAGACCAGACCCCCCAGACACTCTCAATTCCTAGCGCTCCAGAGCGGGACAAGCGCGACAACATTGGGGTGCAGAACGCCCCAGAGCGGGACAAGCGTGAAACCGCGTGGGCTCCTAACACTCCAGAGCGGAACAGGTGTGAGAACACTTTGTTTCCCAATGTCCCAGAGCGGGGTAAGCGAGAAAACACGTGGGATCCTTAAGTCCCAGAGCGGGACAAGCGTGACAACACGTGGGTTCCAGACGCCCTGGAGCGGGACAAGCGTGGAAAAATGTGGGCTCCTGACGCTCCAACTTGAAGTCGCGTGGGTTCCGAACGCCCCAGAACGGGACATGCGTGAGAACTTTCGGGTTCCTAACGCCCCAGAACGGCACAAACGTGACAATACGTGAGTTCCGAACGCCCCAGGGCGAGACGAGCGTGAAAACCGGTGGGTTCCCAACGCACCAGAGCGGGACAAACGTGACAACACGGGGGGGGGTCCGAACGCCCCAGAGCGGGACAAGTGTGAAAACACATGGGTTCCTAGGGTTCCTAACGCCCCAGGGCGGACCCGCTCCTCCCGTGCCAGGGGGGCGCGCCACGTTCCGTGGCGCGTCCCCCTGGCAGGTTCCGTGGCGCGTGCCGCGGCGCGTCCCCCTCGCGCATCATGCGGCGTTTTCCCTGGCACATCCCGTGGCGCGTCCGCTGGCACGTTCCGTGGCGCGTCCCCCTGGCAGGTTCCGTGGCGCGTCCCGTGGCGCGTCCCCCTGGCACATCGTGTGGCGCGTCCGTCCACTGGCTCGTTCCGAGGCGCGTCCCCTGGCACGTCCCCTGGCACGTCTACTGGCTCGTCCCGTGGCGGGTTCCCTGGCACATTTTCCCGGAAAGGGCGTTGGCCGGGGCCCAGGGTTCTTTTGTAGTTTTGTTATCCCCCGGAGCCATGCTTGAAGGAGGCCAGCGAAACAATGTGCGATAAATAACGAGGTAAAGTCACATTCGGCGCGTGCCCGCTCGAGGACAATGCGCCCCTCATGTCGGATCCTCGTTGCCTAATTGGAGTCCGCAGGCCCCCGTCTTCCATCGTTGCAACGAGGGTGCGGAGCGTTTTGCGCAGAATCCCAACTAAATAACGAGGTTTGGAGCCCCGACCAGGATACAAGAAACGTCAAAATGTTAATTTTTTGCGTGCCCGCTGGAGGATGGCGCATCCTGCGCGCAGAGATTCGAGCGAAACGCTCGTTTTGCAACATTTGAGGGGCCTGGGCTCCAGGATGCCCAGGGGGTTCTGGGAGCACGAATCTAGCGAAATTTGCAAGGGATCGCGGCCTGGGGAGCGCAACCTCGCGTAATTTACGAGGGCTCGGGGCCTTGAGAGCGCGGATCCAGTGTAATTTAATGGGGATCCTGGCCCTGGGAGTGCAGGGGCTGCGTAATTTACGGGGGGGGTGCGACTTTGGGAGCGCAGATCCATGGTAATTTATAAGGGATCGCGGCTTTGGGCGCGTAGATCCAGTGTAAATTCCGAGGGATTGCGGCCTTGAGAGCGCGGGCCCCGTGTAATTTACGAGGGGTCGTGGCCATGGGAGCGCGGGCGCCAAGCAATTCACGAGGGATCGTGGCTCTGAGAGCGCGGATGCTGTATAATTTCCAAACGATCGCGGCTTTGGGAGCGCGGACGCCGTGTCATTTGCCAGGGATCGTTGCCTGGGGAGAGCGGGGGCCGTGTATATAATTTACAAGCGATCGCAGCCTTGGGAGCGCGGGCGCCGTGTAATTTACGAGGGATCGCGGCCCTGGGAGTGCGGGCGCCACGTAATTCACAAGGGATCGTGGGCACGTCCCTCTTTGGGCCAACCCCTCGGCGCCAAGCTCTGAGAGGAGGTTCTGGATACGCTTCTCCCTCCCACCCCCTTTTCATGTTTCTGGATCAGCTTTTCCCTCTTCCCCCCCGTGGCGCGAGCCGCGAACCCGCCGAGGGGGGTAACATGGCCACGTCCCCCCGTGGGCCAACCCCTCGGCGCGCGGCGCGAGCCGCGAGCCGCGAGCCGCGTGGTGCCAGCCTCGAGCCGCCGCGAGCCGCGAGCCGCGAGCCGCGTGGCGTTAGCCGCGAGCCCGCCGAGGGGGGCAACATGGCCACGTCCCCCTGTGGGCTAACCCCTCGCGCCAAGGTCTGAAGGGGTGCTTCTGGTTACGTTTGAGGTGCAATGCCCATCGCCCATTTGCGGTGCTTGGAAACGTTTCCATGCCCCGCAGTTCTAGATCCCTTTCCCGGGTTCGTGGGTCGATCATGTCTCTGAACGTTGGATGTCTGGGCGCGCGCGCTTATTGGATCGGTGCTGGACGCCCCTGCTGGCGCCTCCGGCGCCGCCCATGGTGCGCTCCTCGCGCCAGGCAGGGTCCCTGAGACCCGACGTCGCGACCGGAGCCCTAGGCTCTCATTATTTTGGCGGCGTCTTTTCAGCCAGATCGATCTGGGATTGTCCCCGGGCCCGAAGTCCTGGCGGAAACGCCCGATGTGGCATAATTGCGACGCCGAGATCTCAGGGTGGACGGCTGGGAAGGCGTCTGCATGGAGCTCCAGAAGCCTGCGCGGCCGTGCCCTTCGCTCTCCTTGGATCGGCTCTGGACCACCCTGGCCGCGCCTTTCGGTGCCGCCACTGGCGCGCTCCGCGCGCCAGGGAGATGGGTTTTTGAATTCAGAAAAGGCTTTCTTTTGAAATCGAAGAATGTTTTTCCGAGTACAAAGATCAGTTTTTTGAATTCAAAAACAAAAACCCTTCGTTCTCCTTGGATCGGCTCTGGATCACCCTGGTGGCGCTTCCGGTGCCGCCACTGGCGCGCTCCGCGCGCCAGGGAGGGGGGGCCCAGCGCCGACCCAAGAAATCCGCACGGAGCTCTGAAGGCCTGCGTGATCATACCGCCCGCTCTCCCTCCAGGAGTTCCAGACGGGCACCTTCGACGGTGCGCAGCACCACCGCTCCATCCCCGGGCGACGCCAACTGACCACCCCATTGTTTATGGCCGTGCCTCGAGGGAAGCAACACGACTACCATGACCAAGACCTAGACATCCAACTACCATGACCAAGACCTAGACATCCAAAACAAAAAAAAAAAAAAAAAAAAAAGACCTAGACATCCAACGTTTACATTTACGACGGAGGTTCCTGTATGTGTTCGGTCTCTGTGGGCCCTCGCCGGGCCCCAGGACCGCCAAACATCTACGCGAGACGAAGCAATGGCCCTGTGAAAGGGTCGGGACTTCGGGGACCCCGTAATACAAGAATCCGGGCATCACCTGTGTGGTTCATGATCCTGACCAGGACGTCGCGGGATCTTGTCGACGCCGATCTTGGTCATGTTCCATGTTTCCTCGTTCTGTCTTTGTCATGGCCAGCTTTGTATTTCCCTCCATGGCCCACAGAGCCCAGGGCTGGGCTGGCCAGGACCAGCGAGATCCGAAGTTGCAAGCAAGATACAACATCGCGAAATAATCGCGACAAGAGTCCTAGACCTCATCTTTCTGTTGTATTTTTCGAGCTGGATCGATCTGCGAGGGCCTTGGGGCCCGAGAGCATTGCAACGCCTGGATCTCAGGGTTGGTTATAGTCATCGGTTTATTTCCTTCCGTGGCCCATACTTGGCCCAGGACCAGGCCGGTCAAGACCGGTGAGCCCAGACCCCTGATGCCATGATTTTCCGGAAAAGGGCCTGAGCCCAGGGTTCTCTTTTAGAAGATGACTGGCAGATTTCCGCTCGTTAAAACATTGGCATCAAGTCCCGTTCTGTTCTCGCAAAGGGTCTGTGTCCAGGGTTTCTTTTATTGGTGTAACTTGTCCCCAGTGGCTCAATTGAAGGAGGCCGGTGAGTTTATCTTGCAGTGAATAATGAGTTCGCAGAGGGCCAGCGGACTGCAATTTTGTTGCGGAAGTCGCGAGCGAAACGCTTCTTGTGCAAAATGGGTTGAGGATGCCTATGGCGAAGGATTTGGTTTCAATCCTTCTTGTTTTACATGCTTTCCTGTACATTGCCCTAGCGAACGCCTCTGAGCGGGACAAGCGTGAAAGCCTATAGATTTCTAGCGCCCAAGAGCCGGACAAGCGTGAAAACACATGAGGTCCTAACGCCCCAGGGCGGGACAAGCGCGAAAACACAAGGGTTCGGGGAACCGCATGCGAGTGCAGCCGTTGGGGCCTTCGGTGGAGCTCCCTATGGGGGCACGAAGCGCTGTACTGGGTGGGGGAACCGCATGCGAGAGCAGCCGCTGGGGCCTTCGGTGGAGCTCCCCATGGGGCCACGAAAAGTTGTACTTGATTGGGGGACGCATACGCATGAGGGCAGAGGCACGGAGGGGGAGGATGGGGAGGAGGGGGGAAGGGGGAGCAGAGGAGGTGGGAGACGCGGGGCGCTGTCTATCCAAAACGAGGACCCAAGACCACAGGATGGTTGAGAAAACATAACGGGGCTTCATTTCATTATTGATCAAACCAAGTTTCGCAGGCCCTTCTCAGTTCGAGGCTGGGAGGTTAGTCAACTGCAGAGAATCCTGGGCCCAGTCCCATTCCGGTAAAACTTGTGCTGAGCGTTTTGCGCAGAATTATTGATAGAACGTCCCGCGGTCTTGACATGTCTGCAGAACGTGAGAACATGCTGCCCGCTCGATGGTGGCGCGGAAGGGACGCAGAAAGAAAGTTCGAGGATGTCTCCGGCGACACGCTTGTTTTGCAGAACTTAAGAGGCTTCGACGCTCCAGGATGCTCAAGTGGTTTTGAGAATGCGGACGCGTGTGAAAACACATGGGTTCCTAACGCCCCAGAGCGGGATATGCATGACAACATGTGGGTCCCTTTCGCTTCAGAGCGGAGCAAGCGTGAAGCCATGTGGCTTCCTAACTCCCCAGAGCGGAACAAGCGTGAAACTGCATGTGCCACTTTCGCCCCGAAGAGGAACAGACGTGAACACACGTGGGCCCCTTTCGCCCCCGAGCGGAACAAGCGTGAAAACATGTGGGCCCCTTTCGCCCCAGGGCGGATCAAGTGCGAAAACACGGGGATCCTAACGTCCCAGGGTGGGACAAGCGTGACAACACGTGGGTTCCTAACGTCCCACGGTGGGACATACGTGAAACCATGCGGGTCTTTTTCGCCCCAGGGCCGAACAACAGTCAAACCATGTAGATTCCTAGCGCCCCAGAGCGGAAGAAGCGTGAACACACATGGGTCCTTTTCGCCCCAGAGCGGAACGGAACAGGCGTGACTTCACATGGGTCCCTAACGCCCCAGGGCGGGACAAGTGTGGAAACGCATGGGTTCCTAGCGCCCCTGGGCGGGACAAGAGTCAACACGCATGGTTCCTAACGCCCTAGGGCGGGACAAGCGTGAGCACAGATGGGTTCCTAACGCCCCAGAGCGGGACACGCGTGAAAACATTTGGGCTCCTAACGCCCCGAAGCGGGACACGCGTGACAACACGTGGGTTACTGACGCCCCAGGGCGTGAGACGCGTGATAGCGCATTCGTTCCTACTCCATCAATGCGGGATTAGCGTGAAAACACATGGGATCCTGACGCCTACGAAGGCGGGCGACGCGTGACAACGCATGGTTCCTATTGCCCCAAGGCGGGGCAAACATGAACACGCATGGTTCCTAACGCCCCAGGGCGGGACAAGCGTGAAAACATATGGGTTCCTGACGCTCCACAGCGGGACAAGCTTGAAAACACTTGGGTTCCTAACGCCCCAGGGCGGGACAAGCGTGACAACACATGGTTCCTAACGCTTCAGGGCGGACCCTATCCTCCCGTGCCAGGGAGACGCGCCACGTTCCGTGGCGCATCCCCCTGGCAGGTTCCGTGGTGCAGCCCGTGGCGCGTCCCCCTGGAACATCGCGCGGCGTGGCCCCTGTCGCGTCCCCTGGCACGTCCCCTGGCACGTCCACTGGCTCATTCTGTTGCGCGTCTCCCGGTACGTCAATGTGCAGCGCGGCGCAGGGCAGAGCAGCACAACACAGCCCGTGGCACAGCACCATCACCACAGATCTCTTCAGCACTGCCACTGCCCATCGCCCACATGCGGTGCAGAAGCGTTCCCATGCCTCGCAGTTCTAAATTCCTTCCTGGGCACTGGGCTCGTGGGTCGATCATAATTCTAATTTGCTACAGATCGTGGCTGCGGGGCGCCAATTCGTAGTAATTTGCGAGGGACCGTGGCCTTGGGGGCGTGAATCTTGCGCAACTTGCCAGGAATATGAATATGGCCCCAGGGACGTGAATCTCACTTTCTTATGCCCCAGGGCCCCTCACGGGAATCATGAAAACCCCGGGAGGCCATGGTAGCCAGTGTGGTGTCGGCCTCCCCTCCTTCCCCCCCTCGCGCGGACAGTAGCAATCTACAGTAAACAGCAATAACTAGACCTTACGCATTAGAGCCGAAAGCTGGAAACTGCACTGGAACTTGTGATTTGGGCCGAGGAGCTCAGGACTGGTACCTACCCACATTGCTGAAGCCCGATCTTCGCAGCCTGGTGGCCACACCGGGAAGGGGGCTGCCAGACTTCTGCTCTGTCCCTTGTTGCCTTTGCTCTTCGGAGTCGGCCACTCTGGGAGCCTTTTGGTGGGTGGGGTGCGCATGAACAGATGATTGACATCTCCTGTTCGTGGCATGAGGGAGCGCACGTGTCAAACTGTTCCTCTTCTCTTCCCTGTCGCCGCGTCGTTCATTCCCCCTTCTGTGCTCGTGTCCTCCTCGTCGTCGTCGTCGTCGTCATCCGGATCTCGTGGGCCCGTGCGGGGCTGTACCTGAGCGAAGCCAAGGAGGATGCACGCCCCCGCCTGTTTTTGCTTCTTCCCTCCCAGGAAGGAGGATGACGATCAGACATGGGACAGCGTTCGCGCGGCGATGTTCCGACGCAAGTCCGACGGGACTCTGGGGGGAATCCGGCGCAGATACGACGTGAACCCGGCGTGGGCCCGACGTATAAACGGGGCCTCGGGTTGCGGCGCGAGGCCTCCAGGACTTTTCCTCACAACATGAACCGAGGGGTTTGGGAGGGTGTGGCCAGCTTACGCCGCCCCGCTGTGCTGCCTCTTTTGATTCTGAGCCGGCGATGATGCCCACTCGTGCCCACCCCGTCCCGTCTTCAGGGACTCCGCACCCCCCTATGATGCACGTGCTAGGGGGCCACATGCGAACCCTCCCCCTACCCCCCACGGCTTCTGCGGGGGAGGGTGGGGTTCACTTCGCTCGGGAGCTCCCGAACGCAGCGAACCCCCCCCTCCCCCTCGGAAATCGTGGGGGGCATGGGGTAGGGATCGCATGTGGCCCCCTACGTGCGGTGCCAGGCTCGTTGGGGAGGGGTGGCCAGCCTGCGCCGCCCAGCATCCCCGCCGAGAACGCCACCGCCGCCGGGCTCCGCCCTCCGCGCGCGCGGCTGCTGCTGCTGATCGCGTCCTCCTGGCCGCGGTTCCGCGAGCGGGGCCTGCTCAGGCCGGGCGGCGAGATCCATGCCTTCGTGGGGCCAGCGCCCCCCTTGGCGACTTGGGCCCTCCCAAGCCCCGACCCCTCGAGTCATGAGAGACTCGCGGCGGTACGTTTTCCGCAATCTTCAGCCTCTGGGGGCCCTTGCCGGGCATCGACCGTCAGAAAGCGACCCAGGATGAAGAGCCGGTCCCGGTGAATGGGTCGAGGCCTTGGGGGATCGACGTCGTGAGCAAAAACAATTATGATGTGGGGGGTCCTGGGAACGGTGCTGTGACCACACCGTGTAGTGGGTCAGCGGGTGTTCGGGGTAAGGTAGCTGCACGGTTTTGGGACTCGGGTCGTTGTCCGAGGCTGTCTCGGGAGACTGGGACCTCCAAGGTCCGAAGACCGTGAGGCGATGGACCGTTCGGTGAGGGCTCTGGGGGATGCAAGGTCACCGCACGGTCTGTCCCGGCCGATCCTGGCCAGTCCCATCTTGGGCCCAAGATCGGTCCAGGGAGGCGTAGACCTTAGTGGGCCTTGGAAGCGGCAGAGCCGTTAAAACGTGTTCGAAGATCTGCCTCTTCTTGATAGCGGCAACGGCAAGACGACGGTTCACCGAACTGGTAGAGAGAACGGTTCACCAAAACGGCCCCGGCAGTCTGGGGATCCGAAGGACGTTCGGAACCGCTTCGAAATCGGTTCGGATCTTGCAAACAAAAACTGATCTGGACCAGGCCTTTACCAGGGGTAACGAAAACGCCAACACAGCGACGCCAGAGACGTCAAAACACGGCGCCAGAATTTGTAAGACATGGGGCAGCAAACATTGAAAACAAATGCCCAGTCGTTTCCAGGGCCCCCTAAGGTCAAGGTCTATACCCAGATCTCCGGTAACTTTCGTTTCACATTACACCAGAGAAAACTCAATCATTGGATGGTCTTAAAATTAGTGTTATGGATATTGAGATTAATTGTCAGATCGATAGTGGACTCGATAGTGGGATCCATAGTAAGTACGATAGTAAGGTCAATCGTGAATCGTTAGTGAAGTCGGTTGGGTGAGATCGATAGTAAGATCGCTCGTGCGATCTATAAGTGAGAGCGCTTGTGAGATCGATCGTGAGATCGATTATGAGTTTGATTGTGGGATCGGTGGGGAGATGGGTAACGAGATCGATAGTATGACCGATCGATGAGGAGATCGACTCGGAACCTGGGAAAATGGCAACCAGGAGCCCCGCCGCCCACCGAAATCGGCCCAGAATCAGCAACCAGGAACGGGGGAACCCAGAGTCGGGAACCCGGGAATCCGGCCGCCTACCGAAGGCGGCCGCCCTTTTTCGCCGAACTCTTCAAGATCCGCGAGGACCCCTTCAGTGTAAGCATTGATTGGGGAACAACGGCGATTTTCATGGATTTCAGCCCTCGGCGGCCCTGGAGATCTGGGCGCTGCAACTGTGAATGACGACCATTTTCGCGGGGCTTCGAGCCCCAGGGCCCTCGTAGGTCGGTCTGGTGAGACAAGGGCGCAGACAGAGGGGGTCTGGCTCCTGTCGTGACTTTCTGGCAGGACGTCGGATCTCACGGGCTGGGTGTGATTTTTTCAATGCCGGCGATGTTTCTCGATTTCGGCTCGGGGGGACGTTCTTTCTGGGGCCCCAGAACCATCCAAGGCGGATCCGGGACGACAGATTTTCCCCTGGGGAAGGGGGGTAGGGGCCTCTGGGGCCGCGGCTGCTCAGGCTGGGCTGCGAGAGCTAACCTTAGGAGGCAATCGGTACTCCCCCCCGCGATAGGGGAGGGGGGGAGGTCATGGCCTTCGGCCCATCCCTAGGGGGCCAAATGCGAACCCTACCCCTCCCCCTCAGAAATCGAAATCGTGGGGGGTAGGATTAGGGTTCGCATGTGGCCCCCTAATCCCGCCACCGTGCCTGGGTTGTTGACATGAAGCCTGTTGGATTTTCGTTGGGATCTCGTGGGGGGGTCTCTCGGGGGCCTCTTGGAGGCAGTTTTGACGCCTCTTTGGCGTCGATTTGGGGCCTCTTGGGGTCTTTTGGGGGCTTCTTTGCGGGCCTCTTGGGGTCTTATGGGAGCCTCTTGGGGGCACTTTGGGGCCGCTTGGGGCCTTCTGGGGCCCTCTTGGGGCGGAAGGCTCGGATTTTCGATTCGTGTTCCCTTCCTTGGGCCCCCTTTAGGGCCGTCTTGGGGTCCTCTTGCCGTCTTGGGCGTCTCTTGGGCCGTCTTGGGGCGCTCTTAAGCCATCTTGAAGCCCTCTTGGAGGCCTCTTGGGCCGTCTTGGGGTGGCCTTGGGGGCCTAAAGGCGAGACCGCCGAAATCATTGTCTTTGTCTCTTGGGGCCCTCTGGGGATGTCTCTTGGAGGCTTCTTGGGGCGTCTTGGAGGCCTCTTGGACCGTCTTGGGCCCGCCTTGGGCGTCTTGGAGCGATCGTTCGGCGACTCGGAGCCCTCTAGGACTGTCTCGGGGGCCTTCTGGGAGCTTTCTTGGCCCGTCTTCGGGCCCTCTTGCGATCGAGCAACTCAGGCGAGAAGCGGCGGGGAGCGGCGCCACGCCGCGAGAGATTTGGCAATGTGGTGTCCAGGCCACTTGGAGTCTTCAGGAGTGGGGATTACGGCTTAGAGGAGGAGGAGGAGGAGGAGGAGGAGGAGGAGGAGGAGGAGGAGGAGGAGGAGGAATAGGACGAATAACAATAACAAGAAACATAATAATAAGGGGGTAGTCATACTGCGAAGATTAATAATAATACTAATAATACTAATAGTAAGACGAATCCTAATACTAATGCGACTACAAAGAAACATACTAATACTAATGACACACTAGTGCTACCACGGTTACGAATACGAGTAACAAGACGAATAAGGATACTACGAGAACTAAGAAACATACGAATATGAATAATACAACTACTGAGACGAATCATACTAATACTAATATTATGAATAAGAATCGCAATGCTAATACTAAGACTAATACTAATAATAGTAAGAACAATACTACGAACACTCATAAGAAACATCCGACGAATAATATTACTAATAATATTAATAACAATAATGATACGAATGGTAATGCTACTGCGAATGCGAATAGTAATAGTAGTATTACGAATAAGAAGAAGAACGCTACGAATCATAATACGAATACGAATAATATTAAGAAGCAGAAGAGGATGGTGATGATGATGATGATGATGATGAGGAGGAGGAGGAGGAGGAGGCGGAGGAGGAGGAGGAGGAAAAGGGCCTGAGGGCACGCCCAATCCGTGCCCAGAGGCACGGTGGCGGATTTTTTGCCAGAGGGAGCCCGCCGACAATAATCATTTATTTTGAACCTGGTGCTAACGCTATCGCTGGATGGGGTTACTGTTTGCTTCCTGGGGTTGTGCATGGGGCGTTCCAGAAGGGGCCCCGCCTGGGGCGCAGCCGCGCCCTCGGACAAAGAGGCGGGCGGAAGCCCGCGGAAGTGCAGCGGCGGCGGGCCTTGCGGGGCGGAAGCTCGGCGGTTGCTTTGCATCTTCGGGGTGCCTTTCCTGTCCTGCAAGTGGCAGTCTCCTCGTGTACTCCGACGAGGGTTCGGCGCGGATTCGACGTGCATTCGACCTGGGCTCGGCACGGATTCGACGCGTTCGACACGGATCCGGCATGGGTGCGACACGGACGGCGAGCGCGATGGGGCAGGCGAGGTCCCGCAAAGGTGCAACATATCACGGCGGAAGGCGGCGGGAGGACGAGTGAGACGTCAACAGGCTTGGATCCAGGGCCCCCGGAGTCGGCCGCATATGCCGGATGTCGCACCGCCCCTGGCAGCAGGCTCACCGGGCCAGGCAGCGGCGCGCAGGCACCCCTGGCCGAGCCCCGGGGGGCGTACAGTGGAGAGCCATGCTAGGAAACCTCCTGCTTGCCTCCAGGGTGCCCTGGGTCTCTTGGGCTCCGACTGTTTTGCGACGGAAATCGTGACGTTCCCACACCCCAAATCAATGGACGTCCTGGGGTCTCAGGGTTGGGTTACTCGTGGAAGGTTCTTGTGGTCGGGCCCCTATACTGTAGGATGCAGCGCCCGTGGGCCCAGGATGGGCCTGGCCGGGGGCCGTGGGCCCAGAGGTCGGATCCCCGATGTGCGCAGTGCGGTGTCCCCAGACGTCCCCGCGGCGTCCCCTTTCCCCGGGGCCAGCTGTTGGTCCCCTTCCCCCTTTCCCCTTTCCCCAGGGCTCGCTTCCCTTTCCCCTGTGCCCTTTCCCCCTTCTCTTTTCCCCTCTAGTCCCCTTCCCCGCGGTGCCCCCTTTCCCCGGGGCCAGCTTTTTGTCCCGGGCCCTTTTCTGGTGGTCTTGGGGCCCAGTGAGGGCCCGACGAGGGCCACCATTGCCAACAATTTCCGCCGTGTTTGTCCCCCATACCCCCAAAATGGGTTCTTGTTGTTAATCAGACGCCAGCCTCCCTCGTGCGCTCACTTTTTCATACTCTGACTCGCTCACGCTCAGACTCACTCGTATTGAGACTCACTCAGACTCACTCATACCCAGACTCTCATTTTCATACTTGTCATACTCAGACTTACTCATACTCAAACTCTCTCACACTCAGACGCTCAGACTCACTCGCACTCAGGCCCACTCATACTCAGACTCACTGGCGAGCAGATTGTGAGGATTCTCAGGCGAGGCGCTGGTTTCAGCATTCTTAAGGGGGAGCCGCCATAGGGTAGAACCTTGCCCGTTCGCGCCCAGATTGTGGGGATGTCTCAGGCGGCTTGTCTGTTTGGGTGCCCGACATCCTCTGCCTTCAGAGCAGATTGTGAGGATCGCCAGGGACACTCGCCTATTCGCGCTCAGATTTTGGGGCTGTCTCGGGCGGCTTGTCTGTTTGGGTGTTCAACATCCTCTGCCTTTAGAGCAGACTGAGGAAATCTCAGGCGAGGCGCTAGTTTCAGCACTCCCAAGGGGGAGCCTCCAGGGTTTTCTCATGGGCTCGTTCGCGCCCAGATTGTGTGGATGTCTCGAACGGTTGTTCGGGTGCCCAACGTCCTTTGCCTTCAGAGCAGATTGTGAAGGTGCCTCGAGCGAGGTGCTGGTTTCAGCACGTCAAGGGGGAGCCGCCAGGGGGGGGTATATAACCCCCCCATTCGCGGCCAGTTATCTGGACTGTCTCAGGCGGTTTGCCTGGTTGGTGTCCCAGGCCTCTCTCTTTTGAGAGCCCCATGGCCACCGCGATAATGCAGTCGTACAGTGAACCGCCAGAGAGAGTGACACTTGCCAGGGAGAAGGAGGGAGGAGGAATGACGGATGAAAAGAGGGAAAAGGAGGAGGAGGAGGACGAGGAGGAGGAAGAGGAGGAGGACGAGGAGGAGGAGGAGGAGGCGGAGGAGGAGGAGGAGGAGGAGGAGGAGGAGGAGGAGCAGGAGCAGGAGGAGGAGGAGGAGGAGCAGGAGGAGAGGAGGAGGGGAGGAGGAGGAGGAGGAGGAGGGAGGAGAGGAGGAGGAGGAGGAGGAGCAGGAGGAGGAGGAGGAAGACGGACAAGGGACTGGGTAGGAGGAGAGAGGCGGAGGACTGGGGAGGTGGGAGGAGGAGGAGGAGGAGGAGGAGGAGGAGGAGGAGGAGGGCTGGGCAGGAGGAGGAGGAGAAGGATGAGGAGGAGGATGTCTTAATAGCTTGCACCCTAACCTGCCGAGGCGACGCTCTGTCTTACAGTCGCCGCCTGCATTCCTTTTGCAGCATGCACATACAAAACGACGGGTGGATCTCATCGTACATATGCTGATACGCATCGTATTGTGCGGTGGAATCTCTTACTAAGGTACAGGCTGCAGTACCTGGCGGGTGCCTACACTTTCTTCCACTCTCGTTGTTGCCTTCGTTTGCCACCTTTTCCGCGGAGCCCGCCAGGTACCGTTTGCGCCTACTCGTGCTTACGTTTTTTTTGTTTGCAAGAGCGCCACAGTCGTAGGACTCATGTCTGGTCAACTCAAGAGGGAGGAGGAGGAGGAGGAGGAGGCGGATGAGGAGGAGGAAGAGGAAGAGGAGGAGGAGGAGAGGAGGAGGAGGAGGAGGAGGAGGAGAAGGAAGAGGAGGAGGAGGAGGAGGGCAGGAGGAGGAGGAGGAGGAGGAGGAAGAGGAGGAGGAGGAGGCGGAGGCGGAGGAGGAGGAGGAGGAGGAGGGAGGAGGAGGAGGAGGGAGGGGGGGGAGCAGGAAGAGAAGGAGGAATGAGAGGAGGGGGAGGAGGAGGAGGAGGAGCCGGAGGAGGAGGAGGAGGAGGAGGAGGCGGATAATGAGGAGGCGGAGGAGGAGGAGGAGCAGAAGGAGTAGGATGATCAGGAAGAGGAGGAGGAGGACAAGTTGGAGGAGGAGGAGGAGGGGTGCGGGGGTGATGTATGATGATGCTGATGCTGCGGATGATGGTGATGATGTTGCTGATGACGATGCTGGTGGTGATGATGATGATGATGTGGATGATTCAGATGATGATGTTGATGATGCTGATGATGATGCTGTTGTTGCTGATGATGGTTATGATGATGGTGATGAAGATGATGATGCTGGTGATGATGTTGATGATGATCATGATGGTGCTGTTGATGATGATGATGATACTGGTGGTGGTGGTGATGTTGTTGTTGATGGTGATGCTGATGACGATGACGGTGGTGATGATGAATCTGATGCTGGTGATGGGGAGTCGTATGCTGCTGCTGCTGCTGATGATGATGCTGACGTTGATGGTGATGATGATGACGAGGAGGGGGAGGCAGGAGAGGGACCTGGGTGGAAGGGGAAGGATGGCTGCCAGGGAGGCGGAGGAGGATAAGGACGGAGTAAGGACGTCTGGGGACGCAGAAGGAGAAGTGTGGATGGGCTCCTGGTGCCTCGAGGCCTCTCGGACATCTTAGAGGGCAACGTACTTTGGGAACATGAGACTGATCGGATCCTTTTCAGTACCCAGCGCGCAAGCTCCTGAAAGGGGGCCGCCAGGCCCCCTTTCCCTGAACCAAAACAGCAGTACAGGAAAAGGGTTCAGGGGTTCTGGGCTAGGCTGTACAGGCAACTAGAGGGCCCAAAGTGGCTTCTTGGGGGTCCGCGGGCCTCTAGAATCACACTGGCGGTACTCTATTGCCGAGAACCCGTGCAACTCCTCGACCTCATTCCCGCCTGGTTCAAGCGGCTAGCCCCGGGCCTCTCTCGGAAGATCTGCTGGGTCTCCCTGAGGCGCTTGTAGGCTTCGGGCTCGTAGTTGAGATCGTCCACGCTGCTGGTGGCACCTAAGGTGCCCGTACAGTCCATCTCGTAGAGGTGGAGTCCAGAGAAGCAGCAGTTGGTCACGGCGAAATTGGCTGGCTCCTTTTTCTGGCGTCGAACTCTGTCCTCGTACCGTCGGCGAAGCACGATGCTGTCTGCAGTGATGCCGTATTCTCCGTCATGTAGAGCTTGTCGTAGTAGGGCGCTCTCGCCCTTACGCTTGGTGAGTGGATCGGTGAGCTGGCTGGTGCCCTCGATCCACCGAAGGTGAACTTCTGGTCGTTGCAGGGCTGCTCGAACGATGGCTACGTCGATGGCGGCGCGCTTGTCCTCGGCCAAGCCTGCCTTGGGATTGGTCACGTGGTCGTAGCCGCCTCTGGAGTCGGTGACGCTGATCACTGGAAACTTAGATGCTAGCATGTAGGACCTCATCAGGTCGAACTCGCTGTCCATAATCTCGAGCAACATGGTGCGAATGAGCTCTCCCGTCGCCATTCCCTCTGAAATCGCCAGCGTCTCGGCACCGAACTGGTGAGCACACTTCCTCTTAAGTTTGTGATTCTTCCAGGACTGGATCGAGATGATGGCGGGCTCACCTTTGAGAATCTTGCGCTGTGTGGCGAACACGATGCATCCAGCCTGTGAAGCTCCATCTCTGGCATTTGCCCAGGCCGCGTCATCGAAAACTGCAAAAGCCATCTCGTGCAATGGGATGTGCTTGATCTTGAGAATCACCGAGCTGAATTCCTTGGTCATCCTGCCGATGCGGTTCGCCTCCAGCAAGTCGTCCACCACCAGGTTGGGCATCTTTCCTTGGAGTAGGGACACTGGACCAGATAGATCGGGCCTGCTTTCACGGGCCAGAAACGAAATTGACCCGCACAAACTTCGTGCTTGGTGGAGTTCTTCAGGTGTAACTGCAGAATGAGGCTCTTTACGACGTTCAGTGGCTATGTTGATTAGCTGGATGCTGCTCGAACTGAAGCTTTGTGACATCGTGATCTCGGTGTTGTCCTCGTTCTGCTGTAGCTCCTTACCGGTGTACTTCCCGCTCTTGTGGCGCCACGCTCCGAAAGGAAACCTTTCTCGTAGCTTCTGACATGCAGTGTCGAATAGAACGTCTCCACCACCCACGATGTCGTCCACAGTGAGGCCCATGATGCCGTGAAGTCCCTTCTCGCCTCTCAAGTAGAAGACGCAGCTGTCGAATATAGAGCACTGGAAGCCGATCTCCTTGGCGTACTTGGTGAAAGCTGACAGCCATTGTAGGGGAGCATCGCCTAGGCCATACACTGCCTTGAGTTACTCCACCAGCGAACCGTCCTCCACATCAGGAATCCCAGTGCGAGGTAGCTCCACATAAAGACTGCCTTGAGATCGATCGAGTGGATCTCCAGCGGTAAAAGCCGAAGTGATGTCCGCTAGCTGCAAGGTCCACTTGTTAGAGCACAGGATCTGCAAGATCAGGAACACGGAGTCCTTGCCGACGACTGGGCTGTAGGTCTCGAGATCGAGCAGGTCGGGGTCGGTGTGTCCTTGAACGGTCCAGCGAGCCTTTGCCATCCTCCAAGTGCCGTCGCTCATGAACATCAACTGCCGCTTGCTAGCGTCGACCTCCTCAGGATTACCGTCCTTGTCGGTGAGCACCCAGCGAGAGCCCATGATCCTGGAAGCTCGATCGGGATCTTGACGTACTTTATCGGCTTCAGCAGGTGGAAGTAGTCGAATTGCTTGTGCATTCTTGATGTTGCCCCACTCTCTGCGCTTAGCTGCGATGTAGGGCTGGTACTTGTAGGTGTTCAGAAGCGACTTCTCGGTGATCTCCTTACGAAGTCGTTGATTGGTGTTGGTGAGCATGGCTGAGCTGACGACTGGTGCCTTCACTTTCTTGACCTTCTTCTTGGGTGGTGCCTCCGCCTCCTTGTTGATCTTCTCTTCGATGACGGCAATCCGCTCGCTGACTGGTATGGCTGAGGTCGGATTGTCGATGTTCTGCTGGATCGTAAACGGCGCGTCGTCTAGATGATCGTAGTACTTGGTGGCCATGGGAATCAGCTATGGGTTGACATCCGCGGCCTTCTCGATCTCTGTGATGGGCGGCTGTGAGGCTGCTCCTTGATCATCCGCAGCCGGCTCTGGTGGAGCAACGTGAGGCACTTCAAGATCGCCTGGTGGCTGATCTTGTCGAGTGAGGTCTTCGTATTTACAACGTCCTCTGTTCTCGGTGTTCAGCTCCTCCTTCATGGTGTTGTCGATCTGCTCCCAGGCTGCGACCTCGGCCTCGTTAGCATGTCGAAGCTGTTCAGGTGGGCACTTGAGTAGACCTCCCTGATATGAGCGCCACACCGTACTAGGAAGCTCTACCTGGATGACACGTGCAGGTCCATGCCAGGAACTGGTTGGCAGCTTGTCAGTACTGCTTCGCCAGAAATAACACCGATCTCCTGGCTGAAAAGTGGTGCCGATCGTAGGTCTCGGCCTCCGCTGAAGCGCCCGTCTCCACTTCTCTGAACACTCGGCCTCGATGTAGGCAGCCATGGCGGCCTTGCGCATGTCGATGCTCCTGGCCAACTCGGTGTCACCGTTCATCGCTCTGGAGACCGCTGACAAACTTGGTGATCCTTCTTCTAAGACCTTCTCAGGAAGTCGAAATGATCGTCCGAAAATTATCTGATAAGGTGTAAAGCCTCCTCTGCGAACGCTCTCGCCCATCGCCGCGTTGACCGCATCCACGAGCTCGTAGAAGTCCTCCCAGTTGTTGGTGTTGAACTTCTGCCTGGTTCGGTAGAAGGTCTCCTTCCAGGTGCCTCCAGCGCGTTCGGTCTTGCCCGCCTACCATGGTGAAGTAGCACTCCCCACCTTGATCTCGGAACCATCTCCTTCAGCAGCTTCTGGAAACTCACCTGCAGAGAAGCCTTTCTCGCCATCAATGACTATCATGCGTGGCGCCCCGTAGACACGCTTCCAGAATGCGCGGTAATGACGTCGTATCTGAAGGCCATGTCGACTCGGTAGGGGTATCACAACCTGATGTCCAGTACCGTGGCAGACTATGTTCAGCATGGGCACCTTGGTGGTGCTCTCGGGTCCCAGCGCGAAGAAGATGTCCATGCCGATGACATCGTTGAACTGGTAGGTAGTCGGAGCTTTGGAGGGCTTCGCGAGCTTCGGCCTCTTGTTCGCCTCGCAGCTCGGGCACTCGAGCTTCTGCGCAGCCTCAATGAAGGCCTGTCTGGCCTTGCCGTACTTCAGCACCATGGCCGGGTTCTCGTTGCTGCAGTGGCCCATGTTCTCATGGATCTTCTGAACCTGCTGCTTGACGTGAGGGTCCGTGCTCTTCTCGTCTTTTGCTGCCGTTGTTGGTGTCGTAGGTGCCGCGCAGCATGCTGTGCACTTGACCTCGGTGTGTTGGGAGGGCATGGGTGCTTGCGACCCATTCCTGGTGGTGGACAAGCTAATTCCCACACGAGGCGCTTGTGTGTGGGAACTGGGTCTGGTCCCATTATTCTGGTCGTTCTGCTCCTCGATCTGCTTCCCGAGCTCCTTCGTGGTCTTCATCTTGATGATCGTCCGAACTAGTGTCCCAACCAGCTCCTGTAGGGAGTCGTCAATGTCCCCGAGGGCGGTGTGAGGTGGTCGATTCACGAACTCCTGGCTCAACAACTTGGCGTACTCGGTGGCCTCATTGGGTAGATTGGAGAAGTACTTGCGGCCCTTCTGAAGCGCTCCGTCCTCGCCGATGTCGGGTAGACGCTTGAGCTTCTTGATGAGGGGATCCTCCCAGTCCCTGGAGTTCATGTCCTGCTCGTAGTAGAAGTACTTGCCGTTGACGGCCTGCTTGATCGCCACGTCTGAGATGAACGTCAGCATCTCCTTGCCGATCTTCTCCTTTGACTTGGTGTTGTAGATGTCTTTCGGAGGCTTGATAACTACCACGAGAGGTGCTGAGTGTTGAAGCTTGCTCCACGCTTCTCGCTGTCCCATCCTCGTCAGCAGATGGGAACCCATGAGCGTCACGATCTCCTTGTTGGTCAAGCTCCTTTCCGCTCGATCGCCCTCCTTGAGGTGGTCCAGCTCGGGCTCAAAGTTGAGGTTGACCTGATTCATGAAGGCGCTGCTCTCGGGGATCGCGGCCTTCACTGCCTGAGTCAGGTCCTCGAAGTCGCTGATCTGCCTAATGGACTGGTTGATCATGCTGTTCTGCTTGTCGCTGAGCTTCTCTAGCAGTCGCTGATGTCGGCTCCGAGGTGTTCGCGGAGATTCTCCACCAGCTGATTGGTCGTCGCGTTGGCGTTCTCGTCCTGAAGTAGCTCGCGCAGCGCTGTCAAGGCCTTGCTCCGTGGGGACTCGTCCAGCTGCTCCCAGTCCTCGTTTTCCTCTTCCAGCTCGTCCTTCTGACGCCGGTTGTCCTGGTGCTTCGGATGGGTTCTGGAAGTGGTCCTCGGGCTTGTCGATGCTGTCCCGCTGGTCGCTGTTGGTCTCGTCTCGGTCTCCTCCTTCTTCTTGCTGCTGGTCTTGGTCGTTCTGGGCTTCCATCCCTTGATCCTCGCCTCCTCGTCCTTGAAGTCGTTGAGCATGTTGATGACCTTCATCATCCCTGGAGCTGACTGTGGGTAGTACTCGAGGTGCATCTTACAGCCGCAGCACTGCACCCAGAACGCTCGACCGTTGCCGCCGTGGTCCGTGAACTCGTGAACGCACGCCGTCTCTCGAGCTGGATCGTGATCTCGAGCCTGCCTCGGGTTGCCCTTTGGTGGACAGGGGCCCTGGTTGGGGATGTCCAAGAACCTGCAGATCATTGCTCCCGTTGGCGGTCTCGGTTGGTTGTCTATCTCGTGCCACGGCCACTGAAAAAACCTTCCCCCTCTCTGGGTTGTCCCTCACCTTCGGGTCCTTCTGGGGATTCGCAGGCTTCGCCGCGGCCTCTGTGGCCTCCGCCTGACCCGCAGTCGTTGGTGGCCTTCGCGATGATGAAGGCTGCGAGCGCCGAGTAGAGGTACTTGGGAGCTCGTCGCATGACATGGGTATATGGAGAAATACTGGTTGAAGAGATTCTGGGAGAACCCGTCCGTGAAATCTGACTCGAGCCGAACCAGCTTTTGGGGATCGCACGTGGTTTATCTCGCAATTTACGTTTGAGAACCTCAGCCACTATGTCATTGCACTTGTTGCTCTCTTTGCTTGGCTTGTCGTAGTTGCTTTCTTCTCTGACGCTGTTGCGCTTGCCTTTGCTCTCGTCTAGCTCGTTGCCGTGCTCTTGCACTCTATCCTCCTGACCTCGTGCTCCTCCAACTCCCCTTAGTGCTCGTGCTAGTGCTGATATTATGTGTCGAGTGCTCGTCCTACGATCTTCTCTTACCCGTTGTTCAGGTTGTTCTGAAACCGCCGTAGTGCCCAAGCCGCCCGAGAAGTAGCAGCTTCCGATCTTCTGGGGCTTCTCGAGGTCTTTGGGGCCAGACGTAGATGATAGATGGATGTACTCCGGGCTCGTTCCGAAGTCCATCGAAACCTCCCTCGAGCACAGAGTCCAGCTCTCAGGCTTCTTCCACGGGCGCACGAAGTTGTCGAGCTGCAGCAGGAAGTGCTCGCCTCCCGCGTGGGCCAGAGGAAGTCTGACGTTCTGCTCTGGCAGGTCCAACTCCGACTGGAACGCGTGTAGTGACGCCTTCCGCTCCACGACGAACGTTTTGGAGAGCAGTAGCGGCGCCGCGCTTTTGACCAGGCACACGAAGAGCACCCCGCTGAAGTGGCCCAGCATGATCGGAATGAACACGCCCTCCGTCGCCGCGCAGACCTGGTCGTTCCCGAACCTGTACCTCTTGTGGTAGGGCACCGTCTCCAGCGTGATGCTGTGCACGTCCATGTAGTGCTTGACCCAGGCGTCGAAGGTGACCAGGCCCATCATGTTGAAGCCGCGTGCCGTGTCGACCGCACCCCAGCCTGGTCTGCCAGACTTCTCGATGTCGATCGCCAGCGTGACGTGCTCCACCATGTTGGATCTCGCCGCCATCTTCGCCTCCGTCGCCACGTAGCTGCACACCTCGTCGTCCTGGAGCACCGTCATCGCGAAGAAGCCACCCGTCGCCCTGACATTGTTCTTCGGATTGTCGGGGCACTCCTTGTGCAAGTGACCCAGCTTCTTGCAGATGCCGCACTTCGTCCTCTTCTTGATGTCTTCTATCTTCTCCTCGGTCCTTTTTCTGTCTTTGATCTTGTGGAACCCTCTGTTCGTCTTCTTGTCGGCTACGATCTTCCGAGCTTCACCCCATGTCCTGGGCTTTGGTGATGGCCCGACCAGCGCCGCCAAGCAGTCCAGCGCCTCGGCCTCCGTGAGAGCCTCGCCGTTATCGAGCTTGTCGTCTGGCTCCTTGTCGTCGTCTATGCCCAGCAGGTTCGCCATCGCGTCGTAGATGGGGTTGTCCTCGCCCTCGTCGTCAGTAGCCTCCTGCGGCTCCTCTTCCCGAACTCCCGCCAAGTAGGAAGCCGTTCTGGTAGTCGAAGTCTTCTCCGTGACCGTGTTGTCGTCCGTCATGCGCTTCAGGATCGCTACCGGCTTGTTCGCGTCGTAGTCGTAGCCCGTCTGGATGAGCACTTGGTTGCGCTCCGTCTTGGCCAAGCCGGCCCCTCGAAGCAGCAGGAAGCCCGTGGCCGTCTCGTTGAGCGCGTTCGGTAGCAGCCTGACCAGCTCCTTCTGTTCCGAGCGGATCCTGTTCGTGAGCTTCATGAGCGTCTCGTCTCGCGCTCTCGGTGCTGCGAACAGCGTCTTCTCGAGCTGCTGAAACGTCTCGGCGTCCGCATCTGGGAAGGCCAGCGTGTCCAGCGCCATGATCACCGTCTGCAGACCTCCAGCGAACTGCACACTTCCTGGTCGAAGATGTCTCGTCGCCGTCGCCGCCTCCTTCGTCAGGTGCAGCAGCAGCGTCTCGCCCTGCTCCTCAGGTGGGGCCGCCGCAAGTCGGCTCCACCTGTCTATGGCCAGCCTCTTCTCGGGCCACTCGCTGAGATCCTTTCCGTCCCAGGCTGGACACGGTGGATCTTTTCCTTTGCGTCCTCCTGGTGGTCGTCGTCCTCCGTCTTGGTCTTCGTCCAGTTCAAGTCGTCCTCGATGGAAGCCTACCGCCTTCTTGACCTGCTCTGGCGTACCGAAACCTCTCGATCGTGATGATCTGTCCGACTGTGTGTCCTCGTGCTCGTATCTGTCGTGCTCGTACCTGTCGTGCTCGTACCTGTCGTACTCGGGCCAGTAGTCATCGTTATAGCCGTCGCTTGCCCACTGCCAAGCTCCCCAATCGGCTTCTCGATGTTTGGTCCATGAACTCCAAGGGTCCCACGAGCTGCTCTGCCGTGTACTGTTCTGAATCCGATTGTTGTCGTCCCCGTTGTCGTCATCCACGATTTCCCATCTCTGCTTGCTGTCGTGACCGCTGTCGTTGCCGTCGCTCCGCTTACCACATGTGGATGGGCTCCTGGTGCCTCGAGGCCTCTCGGACATCTTAGAGGGCAACGTACTTTGGGAACATGAGACTGATCGGATCCTTTTCAGTACCCAGCGCGCAAGCTCCTGAAAGGGGGCCGCCAGGCCCCCTTTCTCTGAACCAAAACAGCAGTACAGGAAAAGGGTTCAGGGGTTCTGGGCTAGGCTGTACAGGCAACTAGAGGGCCCAAGGTGGCTTCTTGGGGGTCCGCGGGCCTCTAGAATCACAAGAAGGAAGGAGCCATCTCTTAGCCGCCTTCCCTCCTCTATCGTTTTGCCTGCTCCTTCTCAGGCCACTCATACTCGGACTCTTCCACACTCGTACTCACACTGGGGGTCTCGCATACTGAAGCCCAGTCAAATTTAGACCGCTCGCACGCATCGCACGCAGGCACACTTGCACGAAACTTAGTCAGACTCGGACTCATACACGTGGACTCACTCACGCCAAGACTCATCCACACTCAGACTCGCTCGCGCCATGATTCTCTCGAACTCAGGCGCTCATATTCAGCCCACTCATATCCAGACACTCGTACACAGACGCTCGCAGCGGAAAATGCAAGGAAATGCGATGCTCATATGGGGATCCTCGCGTCGAGTAATCTTCACTGCGCTGGACGTCCGGGTCCGATAAGTGGCTGGAGCCCACTCAGCCCAGATCCTTAACCCGCTCGAGCCATCTGGGACAGCTGACACCCCTTATCAGCTAGGCTCTGCCAGAGATGACCCACCTTGACATCCACCGATCACCCCCCTACAGTCGAGGTTGATTAGTCGACCCTGCCACATCAAGGGTATTCCAGATTTCGTACTAAGTGGGAGGGAGTCACAACCCTCCCAGACGGGCAATTTTAGATTTTAGACTCCCCAAACAAGCTATGAAAAGGCGGCCTTTTACCCAGACCCACTGGAACCCTCCAAGACAGTTCAAATCAGATCCCACCCGTTGCATTCTGAAATTCGGAGTGCCCCTGTGTCCTCTGCTTCGCGGCCCCTGCCTTCTACACTACCACTGCAGTGTAGCCCTCGGCAGGGCCTCGGCAGGGCCCCGGCTGGAACCCCTGAGAGCACCCCCCGCGCCGGCCGACCCCCGCCTGCGCAGCTCCCGCCGCCCTGGCCAGGGACGGGCTGGCCCGCTGCGTCAGCGGCGAGCCGGGCGCCAGCGGCTCCGTGGTCTGGCGCTTCGTCCTCCAGGGCGGCCCGCCCGCGGGGGCCGAGGTCCTCGCGGCGGAAGAGGCTCCGGGCACAACGTGGGCCTCCCCTGAGATCCCGGCGTCCCGAAGCGGTGCGGTGACAGACCGTGCGGTGACCTCGGAGCCCCAAGAGACCTCACCGCACGGTCCGTCACCGCACGGTTTTGGGAGCCTGGAGGCTCCAGTCGCTCAAGACATCCTCGAAGAACGACCCACGTCCCAAAACCGTGCGGTGACCCCGAATCCCCGCCGACTCACTGTACGGTGTGGCCACCACCCCGTTTGGGGACCCCCGATCCTGGCCTCGCAATTTTTTCGCAGCGGGCGCTCGGGCCCGGCCTTTCGGGCCCCGGGCCCTCACAGATCGCCCCGGCACGAGAAATGACGCAGATGGCTGGGGTCCGGGGCGCAGGTTGTGATTTTTCACGATGTCGCACTTTTGCTTGCTGGATGTGAGGGGCTCCGGCCTCCGGCCTGACTGCCCGCGCGCTGCACGGGGCGCACGCGCGCGGACGGCGGCCACTTTTGCGATCCATCCCCAGGGGATGATCCCCCCCCCGGTCACGCCCGTTCTCGCCAGGGGATGATCCCCTGGCGAGAGCGGGCGTGACCAGGGGGGGGGGATGCGGCCACAGCAAGGCACCACAACCACAGCTAAGTGGATTTTTCGGGAGGGCCCCATCGGGGGAGAACCCACGGACCTCGACATAAGCACCTTGGTTGTGGTTGTGGTCGGTTTGGCCGTCCTGGGACGCCGCATCGACCACAGCCAGGACGAGGCTGGTTTCGGTGTTCCGACAAGATCTGGCATGCGCAAGACATCTCCCAGGGTTCGGCACGAACGAAATGGGTACGGAAAGAATGGGTACAATGCCCAACAGCAGTTCCTGTTCATTTTGAACAGAGCTCGCTGACTGCGCCGCCGCGGCCTGTGGCCATTTGAGACAGAAGGCCGCCTACCCAACAGCGGCCGCTGTTGGTTTGGGCTTGGGACATTGTTGCTGGGCATTCTGCCAATTTTTCCGTACCCATTTCGGGCGTCCAAAATGGTGTGTCCTCGATGTGGTCGTGGGCGCTCGCTGTCCCCGCGGAGGCGGCCACGAGCGACGACCTGCTGCTCCTGCCCAGCTGCCAGGCGGGCGGCGGCGCGGGCCCTGGCGCAGGCTCAGGGGGCACGAGGTTTCCAGGTTCGAGGTCCCAGGCCCCTCGAGTCGTGAACAAAAAGCACGGCGGACGGTTCAGCCTCTTGGGGCCCTTGCCTGGCCTCGGGCCCGTCAAGGAACGATTCAGGATGAAACACCAGTCTCGGGGAGTGGGTCAAGACCTCTGTGGGTCGAGGTTCTGACAAACAAGAAAGGAAACATGACGTCGTGGGTCTGGGGTTTGATGTTTTCAAACGTTTTCGTTGACTCTCGTCGGCCTTCCAGCCTCGGGGTGCCTTCCAGCGGCTGCGCCTCGCCGAGAGCATTGCGGGCGTGCACAGATCGTCCGGGACGGCCGGAGGCACGAGTTATGCTCCGAAAGCCGCCAGGTGCGCCAATGGCACAGGCGCTGCGGGCCCTTCGCTCGCTGTCGCGGGGCCTGCGCTTTGACTTCTTGATGTCGGTGCGAGACTCCAGCGCAGTGAGCCTGCGCAACGTGCTCCAGCTGCTGGACCTGCTGCCAGAGGGCAGGGTTGTCGTCTCCAACGAGCCCGCAGACGGCGCGTCAGCGGCGGCAGCGGCGGCGCAGGCGGCGGATCTGATGTTCCTGGCTTCTGCGGACATCGCGCGGGTGCTCGCCAAGGAGGGCGCCTCCCTGCGGTCGAGCGGGGCCGGCGACGCGGGCCCGATGAGCCTCTGGCTGCGTGGATGGGCCGGCGTGCGACACCTGCGCCACGCCTCCTGGTTCTTGCGCGACGCAGCCCAGTGCGGCGGCAGCACCCTCGCGGTGGAGGCGGCGAGCCCGGAGACCTGGCAGGAGGCCGCGGCTGCCCCGTGCCGCCTCTGCCTCCCGCCGGCCTCCCCGAGCCCGCCCGGACCCGTGCCCGCGCCGCCCGGGTGCCGGTGGCCCCGCCTGCTGCGGGACCGCGCGGCGGCGCTTGGCGGCGAGGCCTGCAGGGCCGCGTGCGCCGCCCAGGCGGTCGTCAACGCCACGCGGCGGGCCTGCCCGCCGGCCGCCTGCCGGCTGCTCTGCGGGGCGCCGCCGGGCGGGGCGGCCAGTGCCGCCTGCGGCTCTGGCGCGGGCGGCGGCTCGCGTGGCAGCGAGCGCGTCCTGCCTCTGGCGATCTGCGTGTTCGGGTCGGGTTGGGAGGACCGGCGGCTGCGGGAGCGGCTGCGCTCTGCGTTGCGCAGCTGCTCCGCGCTCGCGGGGGGCGCGGGCGCGCCCCACGTCTTCGTCATGCCGCCGCTGCCCGACGCGGGGCACCCGCTCCGCGCGGCGGCGGCGGAGGAGGCGGTGGGCGAGGGCGACCTGGACGTGGCACCGCGTTTCGAGGGCCTGCACGGTGCGGCGCGGCCGGCGTATGCGTACACGCAGGCCTTGCACATCGTGGAGGAGCGGTTCGGGGAGGTCGAGTTCCTGCTGCTCGCGGACCACCGGGCGTACGTGAACGTGCCGCTGCTGCTGCGCGCCGTCCTTCCGTCCCTGCGGCCGCCGGGGGTCTACACCGGCTGCTTCCTCGATGAGACCCTGTTCAACACCGGCGGGGCCCCGGACGACGACTCCCAGTGCCTCCACCTGAGCCAGTGCCGCGTCGCATACCTGAGGCGCCGACGCGCGCCGATGTTCGCCCACGGCATGGGCTTCATCGTCTCAGCCGACCTCGCCCTGGCCGTGGCCGACATGGCCGCGCAGACGCCCCTGCGCTCTGCGGACGTCGCCGCGGACGTCTCTTTCGGGATGTGGGCGCAGGTCCTCGAGGGCACGAGCCACGAGTCGCTCCACGAGGCCTTCCACGAGTGGCCGCGCGGCGAGCTGGCCGACGTGGGCGTCAGCGTCGAGGGCGGCGGGCTCGACGTCTCGCGGCCGCCCTCGGGTACCTCCATGGTCGTCTGGCCCATGACCCTTGAGCGCTGGGACCACTTCGAGCTGAGCACCTGCTCGCTGTCGGCCGGGCCGCGCCGCCGGGGGCCAGCAGGCCTGGCCGCGCCGGCGCCCCCCATGCCGGGGGAGGCGCCCACGCAGGTCGCGCCGCGGCCCCCGGGGGCCGCGGGGGCGCCCCCCGGCGACTGCTGGCAGGGCATGGGGGGCAGGCCCCAGGCCTGGTGCTCCGAGGAGGAAGCGGCCCCGATCCCGCTGCTGCTCCTGGAGAGTCCTCGGCGCCATGGCCGGATTCTCTTCGCAGCTCTGGTCAGAGCGCATGCCGGGAGAGGTCCCTGGAGCAGCGGTGAGCATCGGTTCCTGGCGTGTTCCCCCAGGTACCTCGTCTGCTGTAGCCTGGGCTGGGAGCGCTGCTGGGGAGGGGCCTACACGGCGGAGTCCTGCTGCCGCGGCGTGCCCCCCAGCACACCGGACGCCGTGCGCCCCTCGGACGCGGTTGCGGTGAGCTTGGAGCCGCTGAGGCGCTTCCTGGGTTTCGGCCACGAGCAGATGCGGCTCCTGATGGACGGGATCGACCAGGCCCTGGAGGAGGCTGCCGAGCCGCTGCCAGCCTTGGGGCGCCTTGCGTGCTTCACGCCGAGAGACTGCGTCCGGGAGGCCTTCGCGAGGCTGTACCAGAGGTCGATAGTGAAGCAGTGGCGAAGCGTCAATCCTGGCTTGCCTGAAGGCCCACCAAAGAATGTTCTAAGAACCTCTTGTAGTATGCACGGCATGTTCTGAAAACATATCTGGTTGAGACTGTCATTCCCCAATCGGAGCTTGCCTCTGTAGGGGTCCTGGCGGATTCATATGGTCAGGTTAAGTTTGTCGCCGATTTTCGCTGCACGCCCGGGCACCCCCAGCTGGGGGTGCCCGGGCCCGGGTGCCCGGGGGGTGCCCGGGGGGTGCCCGGGGGGGGCCCGGGGGGGGCCCGGGGGGTGCCCGGGTGCCCGGGTGCCCGGGCGTGCCCCGGGGTGCCCAGGGGTGCCCTATAGCCCAATAGCCCTAAGCCCTATAGTCCTATAGCCCTATCGCCCAATAGCCCAATAGCCCTATACCCCTACAACTCTATAGCCCTATAGCTCTATAGCCCTATAGCTCAATAGCCCTATAGCCCTATAGCCCCCTAGCCCTATAGCCCTGATTGGGTTTTTCTCCGGAATCATGCGTTAGTGCATCGTTTCTATATTATGGGAAAATTGCTTCGTTATCGGAGCATTCTTTTGTCCGAAGAGGGTGTCGTGGGAGGCCCGAATGCCAGGACGGTCGATCCCTGCTCAAGATGGAGGAGCAAGAGCCAGCGGCGAGCCCAGGAGGGACGCGCGGCGGGGCAGGCCTTCTCAGATGGCGGCGGGGCTCAGAAGCCCCCGCGCCTTCTCAGAAGCTCTCGATGGCTTCGGGGAAGGCTCAGAAGACTTCTCAGGAGGCCCAAGGCCTTCGGAGCCTTCCCCTCTGGGCTCGTCGCCGACACAAGCGGCAGCCGACCGATCTCTCGGAGGTCCGCGCAGATTTGTAGGAGCGGCGCTGGACCCCCCCCTTCCCCCCTTGCGCGGGGAGCGCGCCACGCGGGGGCGCCGGAGGCGCCGCCAGGGCGGACCAGCGCCGCTCGGAGAAGTCTGCACGGAGCTGCAGCAGTTTGTGCTCATGCCGTCTCTAGGGGGCCACATCTGCGAGCCCTACCCCTTCCCCTCAGCCATCTTGGGGGGCGGGGGTAGGGTTGGCATGTGGTCCCCATGTCTCCTCTTCCTCTGAGGTCCTGGGCCACCGGGGCCCTCCCCGTCGCCGCCGCCGCCGGGAGCGGAGGGCGCCCGGTGCGGGAGGTGCAGCTGGAGGCCTGGCTGGCGCAGGCGGCACGGCTCGTCGACGGGCACGTGCCCGAGGGCGGCGGGTGCCTGGAGTGGGGCCCCGCGGGCCTGGCCCTCGGAGGAGGAACATGATGGGCCTGTTTTCCACCACCACCATCATGGTTGGATGGGGAGCAGGACGAGGAGGAGGAGGAGGAGGAGGAGGAGGAGGAGGAGGACGACGAAGAGGAGGAGGAGGAGGAGGAGGAGGAGGAGGAGGAGGAGGAGGAGGATTTTTTTTTCAACCGCGTGCATTCAGCCCAGCGACGCGTCGCCGCGCCCGCCGCCCCGGCGCGGCGCCCCGCGCGCCCGGCCGGCGGGCGAGCCCGGCCGGCACGACACGGGGAAAAACGACGGGGGCCCCAGAAAAGGGGCAGCGCAGCGCCGCCTTCAGCGAAAAAGACGGCGCCGCGCCACCCGCCCCCAGGGACCCGGGACCGGGCCCCAGGACCGAAAAAAGGACCGGACCCCAGGACCGACCCCCCCCCAACAAAAAAAAGGCGGCACGACACGACACGACACGACGGGGGACGAAACGGCCACGACCGACACGCACGACACGACACGGACGAACGACACGACAAAGACGAGCCGCCGGTCCCGCCCCAGGGCGGCGAGAGCTGGGGGGGACCCAGCACCGCCCTGGGGGAGGCCACGGGACCTGGCGACCCCCCCGGGGGAAGGAAACCGCACTTTGGCGGCGTCCCCCGGGGAGCGGGGGCTTTTCGCCCCGAGGGCCCGGCGGTCCCCGCCTCCGCCAGGGGGCCGAAGCCCGACCCCACTCTTGGGGGCCCCCCCGGGGCAGGAGGAGGAGGAGGAGGAGGAGGAGGAGGAGGAGGAGGAGGAGGAGGAGGAGGAGGAGGACCCCCTCCCCCTCTAACTTATGGTGGTGGTGGTGGTGGTGGTGGTGGTGGTGGTGGTGGTGGAAAACGGGCCCGTCAGAACATGTGCCGATACCGCTGCCCCTGCCTCGTTTTCGCCTTTTTGGGGGCCTTCTGGGAGGCCCTCGTCGCCACCGCTGGATATACGCCTCGAGATCCTGGGCAGAACGCGCCCTGGGAGAGGTCCGGAGAGTAGCAGCATCGGTACCTTTTGGCTTCCTCAGGCCCGGCGCTTCTTCCCGGCGTACTGCGGCACTCCCGAGGTCGTCGCCGTTCCTGGCGGCCGAGATGCCACCGGAGATCGGGGGAGGAGAAGGTACTGCACGACCTGAGCGGGCAGGCTGCCCGCGTAAGGTCGCGCGGAAGCGCCCTCGTCTCCACTGCGCTGCAGCGTGCCGCGCTGGCGGCCCGTGTAAGCCTCCGCGCAAGGTCGCCGTGTCGTTTCGTGCAAGGCCCCTTTGTTCTCGCCGCTCGCTTTTGGCCTCTAGACTCTGGAGGCCAGTCTCGGGCCTCGGGGCTGTGAAAAGCGACTCGGGGTGGAAAGTTGGTCCCGGGGAAGGGGTCGATCGGTTCGGGGGTCCAGGCATCGGAACGAGCCCAGGAAAACGGCAGAAGCATCGGAGCAATCGGAGCGCCGAACTTCCACGGGGATCCCTCGTCGCCGCGGCGGGATTCGCCTCGAGATTCGCGTCAGAGCGCACCCCGGGGGGAGGTCTGGGGCCGCATGATCGGTACCTTGGGATCTGCCGTAGCGAAAAGATTCAACATCGTGAAACATCACGACCGGAGCCCTAGACCCCGCCTCTCTGCCCCATGTTCCGAGCAGGATCGGTCTGTGAGTGTCCCGGGGGCCCCATGACTGGGCGAAGACGCTCGGCTCGACAGAGAGGAGACGCCCGGATCTCGGGGACCTCTTCCTGCTTCCCCAGGGGGCGCGGGCGTGGCGGGCCGCCCTCGTGCTGCCGGCGCGGAGGAGCTCGGCGCCTGGGGCGTGCCCGACGGCTCGGTCGGGGTGGCGGTCTGCGCCCACGCGTTCGAGCGCCTCGCGCTGCCCCACAGGGCCATGGCGCGGCTCTTCGCTGCCCTGGCGCCCGGGGGCCTCGTCGTCTGGGCGGCCGCGATGTTCGGCGAGGCGCCGAAGAGGAGAAGGCACCGATGCCGCGGGCCCTCTCCTGTCGCGCGGGCGGGCGGTGGTGGGGGTGGTGCCCTGCGTGGGGGGGGAAGGAAGGGATCCTAGAGAGGGCCCTGGAGGGCCCCCTCTGAAGCCAGCAGGGGCCCCAGATGGGCCCCGAAGGACTCCTTTAGGACCCCCGTCTTCACCTCCCGTTGGGGTCACTCCTCGTTACCGCTCGCCCGAGGCGCCACGGCTAGATTCGCTTCGAAATCCTGGTCACAGCGCGCTCCAGGAGAGGTCCTCGGAGTAGTGATATGGATGGGTATCCTTCTGTTTCCCCAGAGGTGCACGAGTCCGGGGGAGACTACTTCAGGCTCTCGGAGGAGAGCAAACGCCATGGGCATCAACTTTCGGAGCTCCGTGCGGATTTCGTGGGTCGGCGCTGGACACCCTTCTCTGGCGCGCGCAGCGCGCCAGAGGCGGGGGGCCCAGCGCCGGCCAAGGCAATGTGCGCGGCCCTACAGAAAGTTGTGACTATGGCACTATGGAGTTTTTTCTTCTTCCAGGTTCACCCTCCCGGGCGCGGCGGCCCTCGGGGTGGATCGGGTTTCGTCCAGGAGAGGGGTGATGATTGGGGGGGGTGTAGATATCATGGCCAGGGCCACGAGCTCTCCCCGCGTATCGTGGCCCCCTCTCCTTCTTTCGATGCGCCTCCTGGGGCCCCCTCGTCCGCGTACATGCCTGGGGCCACGAGTTGCAACTCCTCCTCTGGGACGCCCCCCCCCGCCCTTCTCCCTGCTCCAACCCGGAGATACCACGTCTTGTTTTTTTTGTTGACTGCGGATACCACGTCTCATTTTTTTTTGACTGCGGGACCCCTGGTAGTCTCGACCCTCTCTCCGGGACGGGATGGGCTTCTCATCCCGAGCTCTCTTTTGCGGCCCAGCGGGGCCCGCCGAGGGTACCCCAAGGGCCGAGAACGGCGACCCCCCCCCCCCGCTGTGATTCTTGTCGATGCTCGAATACTGGATCGACTACAGAAGAACGACTGCGGATTTTATTTGCCCCCACATCATTTTCCCGTCGTATCTATGAACATGCGTATCATGCTTGTAGCACATGCGATGTCTTTTTGTTGCAGATTCGACGGACAACCATTTTAAGGATACATCGATTATGTAGTCGATCTCCTACTCGAAATACGTTGGACCTCTGGGAATCCTTAGATCTGACGATGCAGAAAAAGTGCAGCATCGTGAAGCATTGCGACCGGAGCCTGGACCCTCTTTTTCTGCGCCGCTCTTGGAATCGGATCGGTCTGTGGGGGCTCTGGGGCTCGAAACAAGGCAAAATGCCTCGTTGTGTGTACATTGCAGCGCCATGATTTCAGGGTACTTGAAGTCGGCAGCGAGCGAGGGGGGGAAATGAGAATGAGAAGGCCTTCTCAGCTTCTCAGAAAGCCTCAACCCTTCTGAGAGGGTTTCTCGGTCTTCGGGGCAATCTTAGAACAAGTTCTCAGAAGGCCGGGGGACTTCGGAGCCTTCTGAGAAGGCTCGCCCCTGCTCACTTCCTCCTGGGGCTCGCCGCCGATGAAGGTTCACCATCCCGGGCGCGGCGGCCCTCGGGGAGGACGCCGGCTTCGAGGTCGTCGGGCAGTATGGGCCGGGCGGCCTGCGTGAGCTGGGGGCGGCCCTGCTGGGCGCCCCGGCGGGGGCCGTGCGGCTGCCCGCGCTGCTCGAGGACTCGGGGTCCACGTGGTCGCTGCTCTCGTGCGTGCTTCTGCGCAAGCCGGCGGCGGGAAAAAATGGCCCTGGCGAAGGACCCAGCCATATGTCAAGCAGTGGCGATGCGTCCTGGCTCAAAGAATGTTCTGAGAACTTTTTGTGGTCTGCACGAAATGTTTTTAGAACATTTCTGGCTGATAAAGTCCTGTTTAGCACATCGGGTTTATGCTCTCATGACATTGTTTTGTTCTTAGAACATTTTGGGGTTTAAGATAATTTCGTGGTAGGCCTACAGGAATGCCAGGACCGTCGGTCACTGCTCAAGTATGGGGCGCTCCCAATAGCGCCTTGCCTTCGAGGATGGACGGGGTTGCCATCTCTTCCGCGGCGGAAGGCGGCGGAGGGCTGGCGGAAGGTCGGCGGAAGTAGAACGAGGCCGCCGTGGCGGAAGTAAACGTAGCACCCCGCAGTGGCAGATAAGAGTGAGGGGGCGGCGGGGAAGCCTGCAGTCTGCGAGGGGCTGAAGAAGCCCGCCGCAGGCGCTTAGTTTTTACAGCTGATAAAACGAGCCCGCCGCAGGTGCCGATTTTTCGCTAAAATCTTGTGGGTGGGTCGCTGGGTGGGTCGCGGGTGGGTCGCGGGTGGGTTGCGGGCTGGGCCGCGGGTGGGTTGCGGTTGGGGCACGGGCCGGGTTGTAGGTGGGTCGCGGCTGGGTCGCGGGCTGGGTTGCGGGTGGGTTGCGGGTGGGTCGCGGGTGGGTCGCGGGTGGGTCGCGGGGTGGGTCGCGGGTTGATCGCAGGTGGGTCGCGGGGTGGGTCGCGGGGTGGGTCGCGGGCGGGTTGCGGGCGGGTCGAGGGGTGGGTCGCGGCTGGGTCGCGGGCTGGACGACGCCAAACAACATCAAACACAAACAAACAAACGACCAAACAAACATCAACAACAACAACAGCAACAGCAACAGCAACAGCAACAGCAATAACAACAACAACAACAACAACAACACACACAAACACAACAACAACCGAGTTCCTTGGATAATATATCTTCCCCCACTAACCCCCTCTATTCTTTATCCCGGTTCAATATGATATAATTGTGGGGAGGGGTGTGGAGGCCGAACTTGGTAATCCACAGGGGAAGTTGCGAATCGAAGTTGCTATCATCTCATGTTGACAAGCAGCAGCATCAAAACCGCTGAGCATGGCCATGGTGGTCTGACCAAATCAGCTTCCGCAATCACGAGCGCGTGGCAGGGCTGTGGGATTCTCACCAGTTCAGTTTGCCCAAGTCACGAACGTGCGGTAAGGCCATGGGACTCTCACTTTCTCAGCCGTTCCCGAGTCAGGAACGTATGGCAGGGCCACGGTGGCCGATTGGATTTGTATGTTACGTGCGCTTTTCGAGCAGGCATAGCAGTGGAGTTATTTTTTAGCGCATCCCTCACACGGCTCGTGGCCCTTCCTCCCTTCCTCTTCCTCCTCCTCCTCCTCTTCCTCTACCCCCGCAGCTGCCTAGGCCCGAGCTTCCCCGAGTCTCCGAGACTCCAAGCTTTCGACTTCTCTCGAGTCAGTCTTGTGCTAAGACCTACAAGGTCACTCTACACGAGCGCCCAGGATCACCATCATCATGATCATCGTCATCATCGTCATCATAACTTATAACTCACACCAACTTCCCCGGGAAAGTCGTTGATTATCCCCGCCAGACCCCCGCACTTTATTATCTGGGGGTGTTCTTATCAGGGGCATTGCCAGAATGGCCCTTGGGGAGTGCGTGCTTCTGCGCAAGTTGCGGCGGGGGAAAAAAGAGGTAGCCAGGCGACCCATGCAGACCCCCCCGGGTCATGAAAATCATGACGGGGGGTTTTCTTGAATTTTCGGCCTCCATGGCACTAACCAGCCCTCGGGATTGTCAAAACAGGACATGGGATGAAAATGCGGTCCCGGGGAATGGGTCGAGACCGCTGGGGTCCACGTCATGAAAAATCAAAATGTCGGTGGTCTAGAGCAGAGACCCCCTGAGATCCGGACGCCGCACTTCTTGGTACGGCGGGCGTTTCGCGCTAGGTTTCGGGCCCCCCGGGCCCTCGCAGATCGATATGGCTCGAGACACGCCGCAAGAAACTGGGGTCTACGATCGAGGGCTCCTGGCGTATTTTTTTCGCGATGTTGTACTTTTCTCGTGACGTCGCCTCTCAGGGCCCGCCCTCGCAGCTGTGGTCGGAGGAAGGCCGGCCGAGCCGACGGCGGCCCTCCCCTGGCGTGGTCTGCCTCCTCCGGGCCTTTTGGAACCTTCTCGTCGCCACGGCGGGGTCTGCCTCGAGAAACGGGTCAGGCCTCCTCCCTCCTTCCTTTTTCTTCCTCCTCCCTCCTCCCTCCTCCCTCCTCCCTCTTCCCTCCCTCCTCCCTCCTCCTCCTCCTTCCTCCTCCCCTGGGACCTGATTTTGAGCGGATCTGGGCCCAGCGGGATGGCCGCCGTTGTCTCAAGTGGCCCTCCTCCGCTGTGGTTCGTCGCGAGCCCAGATCCAGAGAGGGAGCAACCCCAGGGATGCTGGGGGCGGCGCGCTCCGGTGGAAGCGGGCCCGGCGTTGCTGATCGCGATCAGTCCTGTGGTTCTCGGCCTGTCCCGCCACCGTGCCTGGGCTGTATGTGCGAGGCGCAATGAGAACTTGGTCGGGGGTCCCAAGATGGAGCGGCTCATTGTCTCTACGGCCGTAGGACCCTCGCAGAACCCACCTGGTGCAGATGTTCAGATTCACGGTTCTCTTCCCCCTTTTGTGGTGCTGCCGCGCTAGCCAGGAGCAGCCCGTGATGTGTCGGTGGCATCGTGTGTCGTGTGGCATCGTGTGGCGTTTTTGCCCGTAGCGCATGTGGAATTGACGGGCCGAGAGCTGGGACGACCCGCAGGAAGCGTTGAATTCCAGATTTTCCAAGTATGTTGAATCGTACGTTTCACGTGGTTGTCAGTACGATTTGCAGGGAATTGTGCACCATAGGTTCCCGTAGCTAGGTTTACCGAGGGAGTCCTGCTAGTTCGCGTAGGCATCCTTCCAATGTGCCAGCAAGCCGGTCTATCCTCCCCTCATACGTACGTCGGACACCGACATTTTGTGTGGGACGTCCCCACAGTCAGAGCCTCGCAGATGCAACCCTCCTGGGGGCCTCAGGTATCGCATCATCATCCGCCGCAGAATTAGCGAAAGCTTCGTGGTGCTTCATTCCTTATCTTGCTCCAGGTCTCCCTCCGTATTTCTTGCTGATGCAAGTGATGCTCGTCACCGTGAGAATTATGCACGTCGGATTCCCTGTCTCAGTCAGAGAGCTTTTCTGCGGCGGTTGTGATTTCGTGAGTGTGCTGGTGAGCTTCAGGACATGCATGCATCTCGTCCTCCCCCTCGTGATAGATACAGGTCTCTTCCTGCTGTCCCCCTCATCCTTGCCACTGCTGCTATGTGCTATACCATGGAACGCGGCTTGGCGTCATTATCCCGTGCTGATGTTCAGGCAGCAGGTGCTCGTGGAAGCGTCACACCGTGTACACTGGCCACAAGTCGACCTGCGCTACGAGTTCGTGTTCTCACCTCACGGCTTTCAGTCGGCGCGCTTAGCAGTTCAGCTGTAACGATGACCATTGGAAAGTGGCAGGGCATTAGCGACGAGGCGAGAACGTTACATATGTACAGGTTGCACAATGTGTTGTCAGAGTCGGCGAGAGATATAGACAGAGAGAAAGCGAGAAACACACTTTTTTGGTCTGCGGGTCGGGAGCAGGCCGGGCCCTTCCGGTCAAGAGCTATTTTTTTACTTTATTTTTTTTATTATTCTTTTTTTTTTATTTTTAATTTTTGTTTTTTTTTTTTTTTTTCTTTTTTTTTTTTTTTACCTTTTCTTTTTTTTCTTTTTTTTTTTTTTTTTTTTTCTATTTTTTGTTTCTTTTTTTTTTTTTTTTTATTTTAACATTTTTTTCTTTTTTTTTTTTTTTTATTTGTTTTTTTTTTTTTTTTTTTTTTTTTTTTTTTTTTTTTTTTTTTTTTTTTTTTTTTTTTTTTTCTTTTTTTATTTTTTTTTGTAATATATTTTTTTTTTTGTTTTTTTTTTTTTTTTTTTTTTTTTTTTATCTAATTTTATTTTTTTTATTTTTTTTCTTTTTTTTTTTTTTTTTTTTTTATGTTTTTTTTTATTTATTTTTTTTTATTTTATTTTTTTTTTTTTTTTTTTTATTTTTTTTTTTTTTTTTTGTTTTTTATTTTATTTTTTTTTTTTTATTTCTTTTCTTTTTTTTTTTTGTTTTTTTTTTTATTTTTTTTTTTATTTTTTTTTTATGTTTTTTTTTTTTTTTTTTGTGTTTTATTATTTTTTTTTTTTTTTATTTTTTTTAAAGAGAGAGAGAGAGAGAGAGAAACACACACACACACACACATATCAAGCTATATATATAGAGAGAGAGAGAGAGAAAAAAAAAAAAAAGAGAGCGAGAGAGAGAGAGAGACAGAGGCAGAGAGAGAGAGAGTGAGAGAGAGGGAAAGAGGGAACGAGAAGGAGAGAGAGAGAGAGAAGGAGCGAACGAGTGAGAGAGAGAGAGAGGGACACGAGCTGCTCCAAAATGCAGCCGTCCCGGTGCGAATGCCGCACACGTGTCCTGCGACACGCTTCTGCGAGCGGGTCAGGGATGTCTGGTCACACAGCAGGCCACCCGCAGAGTCACCGTGGCGGAGGACGCGAGATCTGCAGGCCGCCCCCCCGCCGAGGAGACGAGTGCCCGGGCGGAGCACGGGGGACGCCTCGGGCGAGACGAGGCCCGCGCTGCACGGACTGCGCAGAGAGCACCTCCAGGAGTGCAGTCCAGACGCCGCAAGCAGGCACGACTTGGGGCTCGGGAGGGGGGCTCGGTGTTTTTCGGGCCGCTCCCTCGTGCGGGCCCCAAGAACACACACCACCACCACGTCGCCTCCTCCTACCTCCTCTGCCCTCGTACTCCTTTCTGGCGCTCTGCTGGGCACGAGCCAGGCGGCATCTCGCTCGAGGCCGCGCGCTCCGGCGCCGATCTCCTCGCCTGCATCCCTTTGCGAGGGCTTCAGCTCGTCGCTGACTGGCCTCTTTCGAAAGGCCCTCGCCCTGGAGCCCCCTGCAGAAGGGAAGAGCAGGGAGGTGAGGGGGAGGGAGGAGGTAGAAGAGAAGGAGCAGGAGGACATGGAAACGTAATTATCCGAAGGGGGAGGGGGAGCAGGGAGGACGACCAGGGATGAACAACCACAGCAGGAGCAGAGGAAATGGGGATAGGGAGTCTCTTGAACCCAGGTTGGAGCAACAACAGGAGAAGCAGAGGGGGTGGGGATAGGGAGTCAGGGTCAGGGGATGAGGATGGGAACTGGGCGTCGCGGCCGCGTCAGAGTCAGGCAGACAGGGCAGGAGGAAGCGCGCCCGGTCCTCGCGCAGCCACCGGGCGGGGCATAGGCAACCACACTGCGCAGGGGACTCACGGGGGTGGAGGCGAGGGCGGACCGCAAACAGCAGGCCGCATTGTAGGGGCTGGAGCATGGCAGGTGCTCCCTCTTTTTTTGTCCTATCTCTCTCTCTCTCTCCCTCCCACTTTGAACATCTTTACGTTAATATAACCACAGCTTTACAATTTCATAACTGTTTCTTTCTCGTCCTGTCTCTCTTTCTGCTCTCCCAGATCCCAAAACCACACACTTGTCCTCGGGCGCGCCGATGCGAGCAAGTTAGCCACCTTCTATGGGAGCGATGCCGAAACTGTTGGCCCAGGGAAAAGTCGAGCGGCGCCGATCCCCCCTCCACACATCCACACTCTACGTTTTGCCACAAACTCCCTAATTATCCCCATTACCTCTGCTCCTTCTGTTGTTGCTCCTCCCTGTTCGTCCTCCCTGCTCCCCCTCCCCCTTCGGATATGTTTTGATGTCCTCCTCCTCCTCCTCCTCATCTTCAACCTCATCTCTCCTTACCTCCCCTCCCTGCCTCCCTTTTGAGGTGGAGGGGGGAGGATGGAGAAGGGAGAAGCAGGTAAAAGGAGGGATAGAAACCAATTACCCTAGCCAGCCCAACCAGCCAGCCCAACCAACCAGCCACCCAAACAACTCAACCGGCTCAACCAGCCCAACCAGCCACCCCGCAACCCCAGCCAACCCGCCACCCCGCCAACCCGCCCACCCCCGCCGCCTGCCCTCCGTCACCGTCGAGAGGGGGGGGGAAGTGTCTTACAAGCGAAAACCACAAAAATCACCCTCCCGGGGTCTGGCGGGACAGCGGGGGGAGGGGAAATCGCACCGTACTATGGGGGAGGGGGATTCGCGCCCGAGGTGCCCAAGGACGATTTGGGGCCTCAAGTGCGACACTGTCGTCACTTTATTACCTTTCACCGCGCTCCCCTTCTCAACGGAAAGGCTCCCATCCGTGAAACTGTCGTCATTTTTCAGCCCCCGCGAGAGGCTTCTTAGAGGCCCCCAGAGGCTCCAGGAGGGCCCATGGCGGCCTCGGGAGTGCCTAGGAGACCTCCGGAGGGCCCCAGGAGGACCCACTCTGCTCCGCGCCCCCCCCTTCTCAACGGAAAGGCCCCCATGCGTGAAATTGTTTTCATCATTCCGCCCCGCGAGAGAGTTCTTAGAGGGCCCACAGAGGCTCCAGGAGGGCCCATGGCGGCCCAGGGAGAGCCCACGAGATCTCAAGAGCCCCCCCGAGGACCCACTTTGAATTACACTCAGGGAGCTCCAGAGGGCCCAGGAGGCTCCAAGAGGCCCCAAGAGGCCCCGAAGAGCCCAAACAGGCCACAGGACCCCCAGCACGCTCTAGGAGAGCCACGGCGACACCAAGAGGCTCCAGGACGAGCGTCATTCCCTCTTCTCCTCCTGCTCGTCGTCGTCATCCTTCTCCTCATCCGTCCTGCTACAAATCCTTCCTCCCCCTCTTCCTCCTCCTTCTCCTCCTCTTTCTCATCCTCCTCCTCCGCCTCCTCCTCATCTTCCTCCTCCTCCTCCTCCTCCTCCTGGCTCATCCGTAGCCTCGATGGCTCCGATAGCGCCGTGCGCGAGATCCGCCTCCTCCCCATCCGTCCTCCTCCCTCCTCCCTCCTCCTTCCCTCCTCCCTCCTCCCTCCTCCCCTCTCTCGGGAACGTCACAAAGAGGCCCTCCGAGGATAATTTCACGACAACAAGGGCGCCGACCCGATGAACAGACACCACGTCGGGGCTCTGGGAACGGAGTCGAAGACGAAACCTCGAATAACTTAGTCTTCGATGTTCGGGGCATTTTTCTGACCACCTGCGAGCCATGTGGAAACTTCCGAGAGCCTCAGGGGTGGACGTCTGGCGCAAGAACACGAGTGGAGGAGGAGACAACACGACGCAGATAATCTGCTTATTGCTCTTTTGTTCTTTCCTTTCGAATTTATTATATAACTTTTTGCTTTTCGCTTTCTTATTTTTTTCATTTTCACTAAAATCAACGGAGCAAGCTGCGCCCAGGTTTCTACTCCCCGCGATGGGGCGTTCTAGGGTAATGAGGGATGAGGGAGGAGAGGGTACCATGAGGAGTGATGAGGAGGATGATGATGTTTCGCTAGGGACCGATACCATCAGCATAGAATCGAGGATTGGCAGACAGCCTGAAGCCAATTAGTAAGGTCAACAATCGGAAACTGCACGTCTCGCGCTTGCGCATCCCATGTGGGAGCGTCAAGGCGCATTGCCGAATTAATTCCGCGGGCGATGCTGACTTCATGATGGCAGTGGGTTGGGATTTTTTTCACCGAACCGTTGTCTACACTGACAAACTCACACTCCTCCAACGACGTCCTCGGGGCGCGGTCGACGTGACGGCCGCATGGTCCGCGAGGACATGCATTTTTCTGCCACAGCTGAAGCGAATTGTGCAGGACGTGACCTGTCAATCTGAAGCCGTCGAACTTGGAGGGGGGATGCGGCCAGTGCGTCGAGCGAAAAAAGCTTATTGTCGAAGGGCGGGGGGGGGGGATTCACACCCTCGGGACAAGCGAATCCATGTTCTCTGAAAAAAAGGTCCGCCATCACCAGATTGGGGTTCAGGCCCAGGCAACTTCCTTACACTACACCTGGAGCCAGGTCCGGGGATAATATTTGTTCGGCCACGAGCGACCAGCTTGCCGCACAACGTACAGCTCCATCCCCGAGGACATTTCTTCCAGCAGTGGGGGAAGGCCTCGGCTGCACGCTGGACCGCCGTGGCTCTCCTGGGTCACCCTCAAGGCTGGGTCGCGCTTGATGACTGTGCTGGGGCCCGTTGGAACCGAACTGACCGCGAGGCAGCATGAGGCATTTCTGTCAAGTCCATTCTCGGCTCGCTCGAAATTCGTCAAGACGTCATCCGCCACATCAGTCGGGATGTGTACTCTTGGACGCTCTCTCGTATATCGTACCAGCCAGCAGGTGCACTAGAAACAAAGCGATTGGTTGCTACCCTCGCCACGCCAGAGGGATCATACCCGTCAGCCAAACAAATAGGGGAACGCTCAATCTCCGAGAGGGCTTGTGGAACGAAGTGGCTGGTGTCTACAACCGACTTCTCTTGCGGCTTGCTGCCCACCGTTTGGGCCTGTTCAAGACTAGCGGACAAACAAAAACCGTGCACGGGCACTTTCAGCACCAGTGTGCAATTGATCCAGGGGGTCTCTTACAACGCTGGCACGAAACGTCGGCCCGATATCCTGCGGAACATCGCCCAGCTTGCGAGGATGCTGAAGGATGGGGAGGACGGAGGAGGGAGGGGCAGGGGGAGGAGAAAGCAATATCAGGAGAAGGGATGCGTAGTGTAGGGGACGGGGGGGGAGGAAGAAGAGGAGGAAAAGGAAAAGGAGGAGGAGGGGCAGGAGGAGGATGAGGAGGTCATCAACGATGTAGGATCACATCCTCCTTCCAAGCTCCCTTTCCGTAGGCCTTTACAAGGGTTCGTTTCCACTGGGTGAAGTGCTCCGTTGGCGGACAATGGTGTCAACATTCTGAAGCGTGCCATGACATTATTACCAGGACTTCAACGCCACGAATCAACCTGACTGTAGCGTCTTGACGATCCTGACTCGTGTCAGAGCCATGTCTGAGATTCAAACACCGTGTATCAAAATAGCTGTTGCGCCCTGACAGTCCTGAAACGATCGCGAACGCCGTTTCTGGAACTGCAGCCATGAGAAGAAGTGAGCCGCTTCCGATGTTTTAAGACAGTGCGCGCGGCGCTCAGGCGAAAACCACATTTTGAAAACCACCCACCCTCAATCCGCGAAATTGTTCTGCCAACTTCTGGGACGAATGTGCGCGGCGCTAAGGCGACCGCCACTGTTTGAATACCACTCGCCCTCAATCCTTCAAGCTCTTGCGTTTTCTAACCGAATGCGCGCGGCGCTGAGGCGAGAGCCACATGTTGAAGACGATCCGGCCTCATTCCGTGAAGCTCTTGTATTGTTTCAGACAAATGCGCGCGGCGCGAAGGCGAGAACCACATTTTGAAAACGCCCGCCCTCAATCCCCTAACCTCTTGTATGTTAATAAAAAAAGCGACTGCGCGCGGCGCTAAGGCGAGAGCCACATTTTGAAAACCACCCGCCCTTAACTTGTATTCATCATCCCTGCAAGATGTTGAAATGACTGTGCGCGGCGCGAAGACGAGAGCCGCGCTTTGGAAGCGGCCCGGCTTCCATCTGTGAAGCTGTTGCCGGTTGTTCAGTTTGAGGCTCAGAATGGGTGGGGAAGTCTCAGGCGAAACGCCACGCCCGCCCTTCTGACTGGCCTCGGGGTGCGGCAGCGAGGAGTTATGCGCCGGGCCCATGAGTGGAGGAGGAGGAGGAGGAGGAGAAGGAGGAAGAGGGATGATAAACTATGGTGCACGATTACTACCCTGCACCGCGCCTGACCACTTCCACTGCTCGCGCAAACATCCCACCCACCCGCCCGCAACTTGGTCGCAAGACTTCCAAGACAAGACCGTGACGGTAGGTACCACATGGCACTTGGCCACGACACCGACGCCGACGACGACAGCGACAACGGCGACGACGGCGCGGCCGACACCGACTACGACGACACCGCCGACGTCGACGTTGACGAATACGACGACGACGCCGACGCCGACGCCGACGACGACGACGAAGACGACGACGACGTCGCCAACGAAGACGACGACGAGGGAGGAGGGAGGACGACGACGGCGACAACGACGACAACGACGATGGAGCAGGGAAGACGGCGACGACGCGCACGACGAAGAAGGAGGAAGGACTGCGACGCCGACGACGACAACGACGAGGGAGGAGGGAAGACGACGACGACGACGACAACGACGACGAAGACGACGACTACGGCGACGAAATAGGAGGGACGACGAGACGCCGACGACGGACGACGACGACGACGAGGGAGGAGGATAACGACGAGGGAGGAATGAAAACGACGACGACGACAACGACGACGACGACGGCGACGAAATAGGAGGAACAACGACGAAACGCCGACGAAGACGACGAGGGATAGGAGGAACAACGACGAAACGCCGACGAAGACGACGAGGGAGGAAAGACGACCACGGCGACAACGACGACGGAAGCGACGACGACGCCAAGACGACGACGACGACGAGGAAAGACAGAAGACGACGACGGCGACGACGACGACGAGGGAAGAGGGAGGACGACGACGATGACGACGCAAGAGCGCGCGCGCACGCTTTTGTTGAAAATCCGTGTTGCGAAACCTTGTGTTTTTGTATGTTTTTTTGGAGACACGATTTTGAAATCCTTCCGACACCGATGGGTTTTGAAGGTTTTCGGCATGCGCGCGCGACGACGCGCGCGTCTGCACTTCGTCCCATTTTGTGCAGAGGATTCTCGCGACGGCACGCGCGCAAGGGCGTTCGACTGATTTCGACATGCGCGCGCGCGAAGCCTGTTTAATAGCATGTTGTGAAAATCTTAAAAAACCTATGGTTTTCTTAAGATATTTTCGCAAGAGCTCGCGCGGAAGCTTTTTTAGCAAATCAGTGTTGCGAAACCATGTGTTGTTGTAGGTTGCGAAATCCTTCCGGCACCGAAGGTTTTTGAAGGATTTCGGCATGCGCGCGCGACGACGCGCGCGTGCGCATTTCGTCCCATTTGTTGCAAGGGATTCGCGAAAAAGTGAATGTTAGAGCAAAAATGTCACCGCATAGTGTTTTTAACAAGGGGACCTCACGGGGGGGCGGAATACCGGCCTCCTGGGGATAGTGTAAATTCATATTTAGGATGGACATGCGGTCATAATCATATGTGATTTACATACCCGAAAGGGGGAATGATAACGCCGGGTGGGGGTAGATCCTATTTTGTTTTTAGCAATCACTTGCTCAAGGAGAGTGCTGAGAAGGATAACGAAGGAGGAACACGAGGAGGGACAATGGAGGGGGGAGGACGAGAAGCAGGGAGGGGGGGGGGGGGGCGAGCACGTGACAGGGGAGGGGCCAGGGGGTGGGGTGGAGGTAGAGACAGGGGCAGGGCGAGGGTACCAAGAGTGGCGCAGGCGCTTGCGCAGCAAAAGGCTGCTGCGGCCGGGGCTCAGCGCAGCGGTGCAGCCGCGGGGGAGATGCCGATCACCGAAGCGAGGAGGAGGGAGGAGGATAAGGACGGGGGAGGGATGGGCGGAAGACGAAGAAGGATGAGGATGCATCACGAGGGGGGAGGCGGAAGAGGATGAGGAGGATGAGGATGAGGATGAGGAGGAGGAGGAGGAGGACCAGTGGAAACCCAAGGGTTATCAACGATGTTGGACTACACCCTTCCTCCAAGTTCCCTCTTCAGAGGCTCCTGCAACGGTTTATATCCACTGAGGGAAGGAACTGCCTCGTCGGATGACAACCGCGTGAAGATGCTGAAGCATGCCAACGCATTGTTCTCGGGATTCCTACGCCACGGATCAACCTGATGTTTGCGTCTTGACGAGCCTGAATCGTGCCATAACGCCATTCCTGGGGCTTCAACACCGCGAACCAACGTTACGGTTGCACCCGCATAATTGTGAATCTGTCCAAAACACAATTTCTGGTACGTTGATCACGGGAATCCGTGACACTCTTCTAATGTTTATAACTGAATGTGTGCGATGCTAAGGCGAGATCCACATTTTGAACAGGAGCCGCCCTCAATCCGTGAAACTCTTTCATTGTTTAAACGAGTGTGCGCGGCGCTAAGGCGAGAGCTAAATTTTGAACACAAGCCGCCCTCAATAATCCGCGAAGCTCTTGCAAGCTTCTAAGACGAATGTCCGCGGCGCTGAGGCGAGAGCCACATTTTGAAAACCACCCGCCCTCCATCTGTGAAGCTGTTGCCCATGTTGAAGCTTCAGGGTCATACATGGTAAGGAAGTCTCGGGCGAAACTCCCGGCCCGCCCGAAAAACTGGCCTCGGGGTGCGGCAGGGATTAGTTTTGGTAAGGAGAAGGAATGGAGGAGGAGGAGCAGTAGGGAGCGAGGGAGGGATGAGGGAGGAGGGAGGAGGGAGGAACGAGGCGGGGAGGAGGAGGAGGAGGGAGGAGGAGGAGAGGGAGGAGGCGGGGAGGAGGGAGGAGGGAGGGAGGAGGGAGGAGGGAGGAGGGGGCAGGGGGGAGGGGGAGTGGGGAGGAGGGAGGAGGGGAGGAGGGAGGGAGGAGGGAGGGAGGGAGGAGGGAGGAGGGAGGGAGGAGCGAAAAGAGGGAGGAGGAGGTGAGGAGGAGGAGGGAGGAGGAGGAGGAGGAGGAGGAGGAGGAGGAGGAGGAGGAGGAGGAGGGGAAGGAGGATTCATCGATGATGATGATGATGAGAGGGAGGCGGAGGAGGAGGAGGAGGAGGAGGAGGATGAGGAGCAGGAGCAGGAGGAGGAGCAGGAGGAGGAGGAGCAGTAGGAGGAGGATGATGATGAGGAGGAGGAGGATGAGGAGGAGGAGGAGGAGGAGGAGAAGGGGAGGAGGAGTGGGAGGGAGGAGGATAGGAGGGGTTGGAGGCACAGCGAGGGCGACACGGGGGCCAACGCGGCAGTTGGCCGCCTGTCCCTAAGGCTGAGCGCCTCGGTGCAGCCGTGGGGGGAGACGCCGGGCAACCTGGACAATCCCGTCATCTGGTTCTTCATGGACCTTCCGTCGTTAAGGCTCGAGGTTCGAGGTGGGACAATCATTGATGCCATTTTCTGTCTTTGGGCGAAGGCTCGAGACGGGAGGACCGGCAACGGCCAGTGCGAGCTTCTAAGGCTCGCCCGGCCAGCTGGGCACAGCCACCGAGCAAAGGTGAATTCCGCGCGGCCCCAGTGAACAAAAAATGCCTTCCGTCGTTAAGGCTCGGGGTTCGAAGTTCCGGGCGTTCTTGTTGGATCTCGGCGGTTTCCCAGCCTCGGGGTGCGCTCCAGCATCCGTGACTCCTCGAGAGCTTTCTGGGGGTACCTAGATCGTCCCGAACGGCTGCCAGAGAGCTGAGTGATGTCCGAAAGCCAGGGGGCGACGTTTGGGGGGAAGGCCCCAGATATCCGGCGCTTCGATTTTCTCGATTCGTGGGCCCCCAGACCTCTGAAAGAGCGTCTTCTGAGCACGCTGTGGGAAGTCGAGGAGGGGAGGATCGGACCGATCCCCCTCCAAAAAAATATGGGATGGGGGGTCGGACCCATCCCCCTGGCGCCGGCAAACGACGACGACGAGGACCACGACGGCGACAATCCCAGCGCCAGGAAACGAGGACGAGGACGAGACGAGGACCAGGACGAGGACGCCGACGCCGACGCCGACGCGGACGCCGATGCCGACGCCGACGCCCACGCTGACGTCGACGCCGACGCCGACGACGACGACGACGACGACGACGACGACGACGACGACGTGTTCCGCCCGCCCGTCCGACCGACTCGCCCACGACGATGTCACGCCCGCCCGCTCGACCAACGGGCTTGCCCACGACGACGACGACGACGACGGCCACGAGGGAGGTGGGTTCGGACCCTGGGCTCTCGCGGGGGAGGGGGGGCGGTCCAGGCTCTGGAGAGGGAGAGCCTCCCCCTCCCCGGAGCCGGGACCGGCTCCCTCCCTCCCCCTCTCAAAAATCTCCCCTCGAGGGGGGGGGAGATGTTCGGGGGGAGGAGAGCTTTTCGAAGGGGGGGAGGTGGAGGGGCGGTTCCAGATCGGATTCTTTGCCACGGAAGCGTGCACAGAAGACGCTCTCCTGGACCTTTCCGCCCTGGACGCCCCCCTCGTCCCCCTTCGTGCTTCCTCATCCCCCGTCCTGCTCCCCGCTCCCTCTCTCTCTCTCTCTCTCTCTCCCTCTCTCTGTTTCTTTCTGTCTTTTTTCCTAATGCTTCTCTTTTTCTCTCTTTCTCGCCTCTCTCCTCTCTGTCTTTCTCGTTCTCTTTCTCTTTGTTTCCTTCTCTCTCTCTCTCTCTTTCTCTCGGGGGGGGGGTACGACCCACACCTCGATAGTAAGGCCTCGAGTTGCGCGCAGACAGCTCCCCCAGTTTGTCCTAGGCCTCCCACAGGGGTCGAATTAGATGGAGTTCCCTCTTCTTCCCTCTCGCTCTCTCTATCCGTTGCCATGTTTGACTCGACGCAGCCGATTGACTTCCCACATGCAACGCGATTCATCCTCTATCTTCCTTGCACGTATCATTTCACTTCGTTTCCCTGGGCGGTCTTTCTCTGATCCTTGGATCTGGAGCCCGATTGCCAGATCCAAGGATCCTCAATCCATGTTGGCGCGTGCTCGAGCGGAGGAGGAGGAGGAGGAGGAGGAGCACGAGGAGGCGCGAACGAGAGATTTTGCTTGGGCGTGTCAGCTGGGTCCGTTGGCCTCACCCGTCACTTCCGAGGATATCAAAGCCACAGGCCGCAGTCTGGTTTCGCATCTAGAGGGACTTGAAACCACCCGTGGCTTTGGAGCACCCGATCTCCCACCCACATCTCTTAATACACGGCCCGCTAAAACACGGGACCCCCCTTCCTTCGTAACCTGTGTATGCGCACCCTTCTCCGCAAGGGGGCGCTGGGCCCCCTGAGTATTTTAGACCCCCCGACAATATCGCGAGGCGTTCATGACGGCGGTGACGTTGTTGAGAACGATGGCAATCGATGGTGGGTGCAGCTGGCAGTGCGTGTGAGTTTGGAGGAGGACCGGCTCATGTCGTATTCATAACAAGAGAGGGCGGCAGGCGAGGGATGGGTGACAGGCGCTTGGGAGCGGATTAACTCGAAGCAGTATCATGTTTCAGATGAAGATACCAGGGCTGGTCGGGCTGATTGGCCGGGAGGGTTGGCCATGGATGGAGGGCCAGGGTTGCCTAGGGGGCTGGCCAGATGGTTGGCTGGAGGGTCTCTTCGACAGGTATGCCTTCCCATAGCACGGCTGGTGATCGTGGGCAGCGCTTTGGAAGTTAATTCCAGCATCGGCGTTGGTATATCCGTGGTCGAAATCGGGCCTACTCGGGCACAATCTCGCCCGACTTGGAGTATTCCCGGCCAATCTGGTTCGCTTGGCCCTGGGTCTAAGCCGCCCTTTTGCATCTTCGGGGGCCCTTTCCTTTCCTGTAAATGACGTGGGTCCGACGTGGATTCGACGTGCATTCGACGTGACTTCGACGTGGACGGATTCGACATGGATATGGACTCGATACGGATTCGACGCGTTCGACATGGATTCGACAAGGATGCGACCCAGAAGTTTGGCGCAATGGGACAGAGGAGCCCCCCCAAAGATGCAATACATTGATCCGGCTTAATGGCCCCTTAATCGCAGTATCGTTTAACCGATCCGCATCCCCAACCCCATCCCCATCCCGAGCCCCACCATCCCACCACCCCAGTTGGGTATATGCCCCTTGAAATCCGAAGGGGACAGGCTATATCCCCTTTTGGGGGGGCAGACCGGCCAGTGGAACCCAGGCCACGTCCGTGGATTGGGATGGGTTAAGCGATGTTCAGTAATCGTTTAATGCCCGTGGGGCTAGTCACCCCTGCTCGCTCTTGCGAAGACCTCCCAGGAGTTGCTTCCTAGCTTCGCGCCCCCCTGGGAAAGAGCACCGCCTCTCGATCGGGCTCCGCCCCATCGGTGCTGGCGCTCCTCTCGCCACGAGGGCCGAGGTAAAGGCCGCCAGCGCCCCCCCCGTGGCCACGGCCTCGCCGTGGTCCTTGGAAGTCCGTCCGCCGGTGATCGTGGGCAGTGCTTACCCCCTGTGTGCCCCACTCTGGAGGGAGGGAGGAGGCAGGGGGAGGAGGAAGAGGAGAGGGAGGAGGACGAGGAGTGGGAGGAGCAGGGGAGGGAGGGAGGGAGGGAGAGTTGGTTTCTCAGCTTTGAGCCTTGAGCCATACTTGAGCGTCGAAGAAGCGTCTCGATAGGAACTGCTTGCTAAGCTGCTATGTGAAACACTGCTTTGGGAATCAACTCTCAGTAGGCAAACGAGGTCTGTACAGACTGAAATCTTTACTCTGCTACCCTCTCTCTGACTATTGAGAATCCCGAGTGGAGCGTGGAGCGATCCAGGCCTCACACATCAACTCCATCTCCTCGAAGGTGTTGTAGTTCGACTCCTCGTCTCCTACATGCCGTAGATCATCACCGTCCAGTAGATAATCATCTGAATGGTCTGGCTTGATCACGCTCGGCTTGATGCGGATGAAGTTGTTCTCCTGAACTATGGGCTTTCACAATCTAGTAGTACACTTTATTAACAACGGGGGAAAGACTCCAATCTTTGTCATACCATCTGCCAACTTGCTTGTTGTGGGTACGTGTGCAACTCGACGAAATCGACCAGTCAGGCGATCTTCTCTGAATGACATACTGAAATCCTCTGCGTCTTGCCAGTCGTCAAACCTGTAGCTCCCGTTATCAGCTCGAAGAGCTCCGTACATAGCTTCGCACGGATCGGTTAGCACGCTGTTTTGTTCAAGCTCCAACAATTGGCGAGGTCGTGCTGGAGCTCCGATGATCTGCATAGCGAACAACTCAGTCATGCGTGAGGATATGAGCTGTGCCACCTGTAATCAACCAACACATGCATTCGTCTCGGCGTGAGACGTACTGTGGCTCACCGTTGCTGCCTTCCTGGCTGTGAAACACAGCGTGTGTCCATATCCGCTAAACTGCAAAGCTCCTGTCATAGGCCACCACTCCTTGCTGTCATACTGCACCTTGGGCTCGCTCATGAGCTCAATGATCTTGCCTTCAAAGAGATAACCTGATCTCTTTGTTGCATGACCTGCGTCTGTAATGCATACCAGTTGTAGTGGCTATTGAGGCTTGCGAAAGTGAAGTCCATTCATCGTCTTAGTCTTTACAGCGCGGGCCAGGAGAGCATTGCACTGTTTTAGATGTACCATCGGAGGGCTGACCATCTCACTTTGTATAAGTACGACTCCATGGCATACATCCACCCGCGATGAGCAAACCCACAAGAGACTGCTCAACAAAGATCTGAAGTCTTTGTGTTCCACCTTGTCCAAGGGCAGGCTGTCGATCTTGAGCCGCTTCGCATCGGTCACCTTAGCTGGGGTCAGCTTCATCAAGTAGTGCTCTTGGTCCAGGAAGTCGTGTCCAGGTAATTGCATCGAGTGTAGTACTCCAACATCTGTCACGGGAAGAACGCATCTTTTGACACTGCCAAAACGCTCTGACAACCGATGGTAAGTCTTGCCCAAGAACCCTTGAGGAGTGATGGCCATAATGTCGTCCATATGAGTATTATCGATGGCTACGATCTTCTACCCGGTGGTAATGTAGAAGAACTTCTCATCATAGTATGCGCTCAGGAAACGTCGATGAGTCCGTACATGGCCTTCAAGAGCTCGAGTACGAAGTAGACTGTGTCCTGGTCCTGCACATGGATGCCACTGCCCTCGATTTTGCGAAGGTGCCTCCAAACATTAGAAAGAACGTGTTTACCGCTGCTGGCGGAAAACTGGGGGGCGGTCACTGGGGGTTCCCAACCCTTCCCCCCCCCCCTCGAAAACCAGTGGGGGTTATTACCGGTTCGACCCCCCCCTCCCCCCCCCCAGTCCATCATGAAAAGGGTGGGGTGGGTCACTACCGGTTCGAACCCCCCCCCCTCGCCGCCGCCTCGCTCCTCGGGACAGGGGGACAGTGGTGGGGACAGTGGGAC